CCTTGCTCTACCACTGTACTCCTTCTGGAACATGGACGACTTCTCCTGGGGTAATACCCGTGTTATCACCGGAGAGCAAGGTCGCAAGGTTGTCATTTCCGACGAAGGCAAATTCGACCCCGACTCTATTCCCAAGAAAATTTGGGAAGACTACCAAGCCGAGCTGTGGGAATCCCAGACTTCGCGCGACGACCGATCTGAATTCTCCGCACACTCCTACGGCACCAGACTGCCTCCCTTCCCGCAGTCAGAGTATGGGTACCATACCGGCTCGGGTCCGGTTTCGCAGCTCGACCTGCCTCTTGGAGGCGGTGGTACTCGTTACTCAGTCGCCCCGTCTGAAATGATGAGCAACTTTGGCATGGAAGACCTCAGCCATCTACCTCCTGATGATGAGATTCTCGAAGAGATCCGCAAGATCTTGGCGACTGCAGACTTGATGAAGGTCTCGAAGAAGACCGTCAAGCAGGAGCTTGAAAGACGGTTCGATGTCAACTTGGACGCCAAGCGGCCATACATCAATTCTGGTAAGTTATCATTTAGTCGATATCTTAATGGACACAGCTAACACATATATGCAGCCACCGAAGCCGTTCTATCAGGAGTTCTTTGAACGATCTATTTACACCGTTCCGTTTTCTGTGTTTCGTCCTTTTGAGGTGTGGACATAAGGTTCCTTCGACTAACATGTGTTATTAATTCTTTTTACTTGTGTCTTGATTTTTCTTTCTACAAGCGAACTTATGCATGGATGAGAGCTTTGCGCAGCGATTTACTTTCGGCCCTTGATTTTCTTGAACATTTGGCCTCATAAAACTATTATCTACATCCTTGAAATTGATAATTCCCAGGGGTTGTCTCTGGTGTTTGGCTTTTGATCCATGTGAACGTCGAGTATTGTATCAATTGTCGGCCGTAGGTTTAATATTATAATATTAATCTGAGATGAGACAAAGACTAGGGTACCTCACCTCTCTATCACTTTGCCCTTGTTTATGATCTTGAAGTGAAGCACCTTCTCACCTTCTCACCTTCTCACATTGTTACTTCCAGTCCCATTTTTCTTTCTCCTTCCACTGTTCATATCTTGTCACCACACCAAACTACAACTTTCGTTCACCCACCTCAAATACTTATTTTCAATGTCTGCTTTGGTTCTTCCTGCTGCGGCCATTGGCCCTCCCCCTACCGACAGGCCATTTCTGCGCAGACGGCCCCGGTTCTGGAACAACAATTGACTGGGTTAATACCCGGCACAGTACCTACCTAGGTAGGTAGGGGACTCAACTCTGAAATTTGGCGGAACTGGCTCGCGGGCCGGGCCGGTGCCGGTGTGTGCTCCACTCGTCGTGGACCCACCTGCCCTTCAGAAACAACCTTGGAAACTTTGGAAGTTAGGTTCGGGCACGGACGAAACCCCGGATTTGTAGGTGTGTACTTAGGTAGGTATGTAACTGGGCGAGGTGGTGATAGTCGACATTGATGCGGGCGCACCCAGAAATGACATTTTGCTGGGGCCGTTTCTCGGCGCTGTGATCTTGCTGTAGCAACCTTTTTCCTGGGAGGCGGCTGCACATTTGCAATTGCGAATGTGGTAGAAGAGAATATTCGAATAGAGTTAGAAATTCTGTTTGCTCATAAATGGTGAGTGAAAAAAGCGGACTATATGTACTCCAAAATAATGGATATCAACTCTGGCGGTAGTGAAAAGCCCGTATTGTCTTGTTGAAGACTTAGCTCAGGGTTCAAGGGTCTAAGTGAGTTGGCCCCAGTCACCCGTGAAAAATGACTGCGCCCACAGTTAATTGCAAAGCAGAGATCAAGAAGCTGTTGGAAAGTCTAAATCTAAATTCAAATGGATTCTAAGAGCATATAGACATAAACCGAGGCAGAATAAACCTCGAGGACGTATTTTGCACAACTTCAGCCTTATACCTCGATGTGTGCAGTCTCGATGATTGGCTTTTCAATCTCCTCAGTGTTCAAAGTTCGATGGTGCCCAGGGAAAACAGGATAACCTCTAGTTTCCCAAACACCTCCAGTAATTCCACCTCTTGAAAAGAGGTGGTCAACATCCTCCAGTTCCAAGCCCTTGGTCTCTGGGAAGAAGAAAAATACCATAGGAATCTTGGTTCGATCAGTATTATATAACATAGAAATTGGGTTCAGAATCGGGGTCATACCCAGGCAAAACAGAAGCAGGCAAAGATGATAAATGTTTTCCATCCAATATTATCAATTGCCGTTGGTGTAATTTGGACGACAATGACTGCGAAGGTTAGCGAAGTCACGTACTTCTTATGGGTGCCAGGCAACTTACAAACACAAATCCAATTGACGAAGCCACCAAAAGCTTGAGCTCTAGCTCGGATACGAGTAGTCGAGATTTCAGAAGGATAGAACCTTATTAATTGTTAGCAGTGGCACACAAACACGACTAAGATAGGCAAAAACCAACCATGGAACCGGCAGATAACCAATGCCAAGGAACAACTGGAATATGAAGACAAACACAGTAGCTGCATATGCACATGGCGCAGTGCCTATCGATAATAGAATAGCAGTCATCACAAAGCAGAAACAGAGACCAGCGGCGGAGACCATGAGTGATACCCGTCGGCCGAATTTATCCATGCTCCACAAGGGGATAACAGAGCCAACAAGGTACGCGAGAGAGGTGCAGCCGCCGAGAACCAACGATAGGTTGCGAGATAGATTCATAGCATTCTGTTTTGGAATTGCTATTAGTTCACTTCATCAGCTGGAGATGGGCATAGGTGCATACCTGGTAGACAACGGGGGCATAGTAGTTGATCATGTTAGAGCCTATAATATGTCAATAAGTCAATTTCCTACAGCACTTGAGTTGGTATTGCTGACCTGTAAACTGCTGCTGAATATTGACAACAGCAGCCAAGATCATGCGCCGAAGATTTCCCATCTGGCCACCCGACCAGAGCTCCTTGTACTTGAAGGGTCCACCAGCAGACTCAATCTCGATAGACGATTCGATTTGACGACGTAGAAGAACAACCTCGGGGTTAGACTCATCAGCGGGCTGATCCAGTTGTAGACGTGCCAGAACTGACGCTGCCTCGTCACTGCGATCTTGTTCACAGAGCCATCGTGGGGAGTCAGGCAGGGGAATCATCTGCAGAACCAAGCAGATGGCAAAGAAAGCCTGGAAACTGATTGGGAACCGCCACTGAACGGGCGTGTCCACGAAACTTAGTCCATAGTCCAGCCAGTATGCGATGCAGAGACCGAGAATTGTAACGGTGCCTTGAGCAGATAGCAGCATGCCACGCTGCTCTGGGCGTGCTAGCTCGGATTGGTAGGCTGGAACGGTACTGCTGTTGATTCCGTTGCCAAGGCCGGTGACAATTCGGCCAACGAGGAATTGAGGAACGGTATAGGAACTGCCGAGGATGATTGTTCCTATGATCATGATGGAGCCACCAGCAATAATCATCTTGCGGCGACCGAATTTGTGGCCAACGACGAGACTGAGGAGACAGCCGACTGCACAGCCGATATCGTAGATGGAAGTAAGGAGACCCTGCATCGTGCTGTCGGGATTGTTGAAGGTTCGTCCAAATTGATTGTTCGCGCCAATCAGGCCGCTCATAACGCCCTGGTCATATCCTAGGAGAAGAAAGGCTTGACAGCTCGCAGCTGTCACAGCCCAGTGTAAGTATCTTCCGCGCAAGACCATATTGTGCTCGGATCGATGGGGAAACTGGAGAGACGCTGAGGTCCGGGGCCCCAGGTCATTTTCTCCACTCCTTCAACCATTTCAACCCCATGGCATCTCGGTTCAGTTTTGCCCGAGAAGTATTGGTTGTTCGGTTTAATGCAACCCGGGGCCGTCATTAATGTTCACCCGCGGGACGAAATAAGACTAGCGCAGTGGTTTCCCCGCGGGGACTTCCCCACATGCCGACGAATCCCTGTTCGGTTGGAGGGACAGGGGTGTTCTGAACAACGCCATTGACGCCTTATGATGATACATGAGCTCCTCAAAGCTGAGCCATACCGAAATGCAGACGATCCGAGAGCCCAACGTACAAGACAGGCCCCGCAGGAAGCCATCCCAATCCAAGCACAACAACTGTTAGACAATGTCGGTCATCCCATTGATGCCTCCATTTGTTTGCAGACTGAGCATGTCTTTGTTTGACAGGGTATAAATCCCCTGCTTTTGATAGATTGAATAGATCATGATTCCTCTTCTTCTCTCTTTCCCTTAGCTAGTAGCTCTAACAACAACCAACGGTTCAAACACAGCAGCCACTAACTCCAGGATTCATCAAACATGAACCAAGCACAACCCCATCCCCGGAGCCACAAACCAAGCCCGTCCTTCCGCAGACCATCAGTACCGAACTACAGGCAAAGCTCGAGGCGATGGCGGGATACGGCACAGCAGCCGCCGCAATTACTTCGGCCGTTGCTCTTGGAAGAGGGCTGGTACAGGCAGCTTGTAGAGCGCTGGAAGCCACCTCGCCGCAGAAGCACTCAGAGAAATTAAGGGCACAAGTACAGGTTGTCCGTTTTAACACATCTTGGTTATTTATCTTTGGTATATACAACCTTTTGACGAGGTGGATTATTGGCAACCAGTGTGAACACCGAACGACTACTAGTCAAAGGTTATACATTGAAAAGTCCATTTCACAAAGTAAGCCATTTCCGCCTTTTTCTGTGAGAATGGGGAGAAAATATCTATAAAACAGATATTTACAAAGACTATCCGAGAAGACCACAAGAAAAGACCACTGAAAAGACCACTGAAAATACCACTGAAAGAATACTTGACAAGGCCGCATAGGCCGACTATTCTTGTAGTTTTTTAGGAATTCAGCAAAACTTCATGACCTGAGATATCTGTGAGTGCCCCGAGCAACTTCTTGGTCTACGAGCTACTACGACTACAATACTACGAAGAACGCTGGAAAATTTGAGTGCGAAATCTTTTGAACGAATGAATTGGTATATACCTAAAGGTCCAAGTACCGGTCCACAGCCTCGATCTGACGGGAAATCCAATGCCGGTCGGAATATAGAGACATGAGGTTATCCTTAAGCACAACCAAATGGCGCCGAAGCTTGTGAGTCTTCGCTAGAAATGCGGAATTGTGCCCGTAATAACCACGTCTATCAAGCACGGTACGGCATCGTGGCATCTCCCTGTACATAGTGACACTAGCCCGTTCAACGACACATACTTGGTCAATAAGGTCGGTGAGGTTGTCAACAGCCAGCGTCAGGCGGAAGGGTGAAATCCCATTGCGACTCATAATCGCATCTATCTCGAGCTGTATGTCAGCTATGAACTGATCCCGTGTGTGCAGAAACTGATGTTCGGCGTTTCCTGCGGGGATCGGCATAATGTTAAATGGGTATTGTGTTACAAACCTCAATAGTAGATTGAATCCTGTGAGGTTAGCTGGTAGTGTCAATGAAAATGTAGTTGATGCAGATGCTTCGAATGATGGGATTGAGTCTATTTATGTAAGTTCCGTAGAGGGAAAGCTAATTATTCGAATCAAAAGAGGATAATGTGATAGAGAAACAATGCGAGTCACAAAGACTTCAGACTTCACTCGCGTTCTTTGACTCTTTCAGGGCTGCCATTCATTCTTTGTGGTTTGAACGGGAATAAACTTGATGAAGAATTAGGGATGAAAACAGTATATCTGTAACCGAGTCACTAAAAGGAATTGTTCAGGTCTTTGGTATCATAATGCACTACCTATGATAGGTACATCGGAAAATCTGTATAGGTCCAGGTTTCTGATTGTTACTCCAAGCGAAGTAGCAGCGACCAAGATATCGTTCTTTCTTTTCAGAGCTCGAGGTAATAGTAGTAGTACTCAGTCAGAAAATTGACAGTCAAGTCTTTGTTCATCGGTGTTTGAGAGTAGAGTGTTAAACTCGGAGGATTCTTACAATTTTCGAGAGCGATGCTCCGAAAGTAATTACCTATGCGAGGAGCGAGGAATTAGATAAACTGAAAATCACTATACTTTCTAAAAATTCAGAGAAGCTGACTTTCCAGCCCGAAACCTGCCCCAAAACAGTTAAATGACCTCGACCCGACTGCGTCATCGAGGCTCAGCGCATACCGCTAGCCCGAAATAGGCTTCATGTTGCGCCTCACATCAGCAACGTCGATATAAGACATACCTTGGGCCTTTCTTTGCACCTATCTCTTTTGATCAAAGCTGACTTGTCTCATTCCTGCTCGCCACCTAAAATGACCTTGACCGACCGAATTCTTCATTCAATCTATGGGCTCCCGCCTCCGACCAGCGGTGTACGCAAAGAGCCAATGCAGGTACTGGCTGTCGGGATCTCACGAAGCGGAACCGACAGTCTGCGTGAAGCATTGCATATCTTGGGATTTAACCATACCCACCATGGTTTTGACACAATCCTTCCCCCTTCATCTCTAGAAGGGATATACCGACTTCTGCAAAAGAAATACACCACAGCCCCAGAAGCCGACAAAGTCAAGAAATTGACGGCTAAAGATTTCGACTCCATTCTACTGAACAGTGTGGGCGTCAGCGATTTATTCGCCGCAGAGTTTGCGCCCGAGCTCATCGAAGCCTACCCCGATGCAAAAGTCATCCTCAATATCCGCCAGGACCTTGACAGCTGGTACCGTAGCATGCAAAACACAATGGGATATTTCGACAAAAATCCTATTGATTGGGACTGGTGCAAATCTTGGTTCAGCTCGGATCTTTTCTGGATTCGGCAAACAATGTCGAGGACCATGATGCCCCGATTCTTCAAAGGGAGTTTCCAATCGAACGGGAAGTGGGTCTATGAGCAGCATGTTGCGATGGTTAGAGGCCTAGGTTTGCCAGAGGATCAATTTCTCGAGTGGTCTGTTGAAGATGGCTGGGAGCCTCTTTGTCGGTTCTTGAGCAAGCCAGTGCCTGACATTCCGTTTCCCAATGGTAATCCTCCAAAGGCATGGGCAGAACGGATTGCTAAGACAATGGACGCTCATCATAAGCGAGCAGTAAGGAATATGCTTATCTTTGGGGCTTTGACTTTTATGATTCCTGTTATTTTGTGCACATATTTGGTAGGCTTCGTTTGATCGAAGCGGAGTATCAGCACATATTTCTCCCATTTCTATGGATTTCTGATCTAGTTACAGCTGAGTAAGATCTACATTTCTGTCACTTTCAGTGAAAATTCCTTATTTTGTGACATACATATTTGAGAAAGTCCCCTGTAGTTTGATACTCTTGGCTCATAGCATGATCATCTCGTCATCTCGAAAAATTATTCCCCAAATACTCCTGACCATTTTTATTTGATATCAAGAAAATAGACTTGATGCGTACTCTAATAGATCGATTCTTGCCGATGCAGACACAGCCCTGATAACGGCTGTGAAGTAAGGGATATCGACACCCTTGAAAGAACAACTTTTCCCGCGAACGTCTATAGTCACAGTGCCAACGTCATCGTCACCCGAAATGGCCTCGTGAATTAACATTTCCTTGTCAACTGAACCGAGTACCACAGTGTTGCTGATAGTCTTTTCTAGAAAGAGATGGGGCAAGTCGACCCAACCCAAGTCCGAGTCACCAAGAGAGAGATTGAAAGTCACATGTCCCTAAAGATGTCAGCCATACTTATATCCTAGGGTATGGGATAGAGTGGCATACCATCTCAACAATGAAGGGACTCGGATTGCGCACGGAGATCGTGGCATTGAAGTTATATCCATCTACTGGAGGATCCAGGAGTTCTAAGCTGGTGATGTTGAATGCGCCTTCTGCATTGATGAAGTCTGCGAATTTTAGAAAGATTTATCCCAGGGGGTCGGGATTTAGCACGGTATGTCTCACCTGTAAAATTATAACCTAATTCAACATCGTCAGCTTGTTTCATGGATGTAGGGAAAGTACTCACTTACCACCCACGTTCATGATTTTATGAATGTTCAAATGAGCAGTCGGTAGAGCACCAAATTTCAAATCCGGTGAACCCTCAATCAAAATGGAAGAATTCTTGTTAGATCCAGCTGCGGAGGCCAACCGTGACAGACAGTCAACACAAGACAAATCCAAATCTTGGTCTATTTCAAGAGTGGCGCCGTTGCCAAATGCAATATTTGGCACAGTCAATACTGTAAAGACTTCGTCGGTGTCTTCCACGCGGCATGTGGCGTTGAATGCATTCATATGACCACTACCACTAAGCCCACCTCCCATTTGAAGGCTTTGCGTTTGTTTAATATGGAAGGCAGTAGGCCGGGGGTTGGTAATCTCGAGGCCGTCGTAATCGTATTCGTACTTGTTGATATAGTCATTCGCGAAATTGGGAATCCCGACATAAAATCTGAGAAATAATTAGTATAAACAGTATAATCTTCCATGATAAAGCTCACAATGGGAGAATGATAACTAGGACAGAGATGCAGAATGCGATCAAATAACCCCACCAGAACCTCTTCATATGTGTCTTGAATCGATTCCATAAGGTCGGCTTTGCTGGGGCTGGCAGCGCCTCATCCGCCTCGGATGTACTTGAGATGTCCAATTTTGACATGAGGGGCGCAAGGATGTTGATTAGTGCCAGATAATTTGCTTTCAGCCCAAGTCATGGATGGTGAAAGTCTGATAGATAGCAGTATGACAACTGCTTCCCATGCTGTAGCGTGTGAAGGTAGAAGTAGATAGAGAAGAAATTAAAATGGGGTTTGGATCAAACAATTTCATAAGCTAGTCGTCGCTTGGGGTTTTGTTATTGTTATATCCCATGTCGATCAGACCCGCCTTTCACATGACAGATATGCACAGCAACGATTCAAAACGTGAAGAATTTCTTTGCGCGACGTCAGTCGCTGATGTCATGACATGTCTTTCAGGATCACCTATGTTGTTTGATTGCGGGTCCAAGGACTAACGTTCGGTATATAACCCTTGGAAGACGAGGCTCAAGGCAAAGAAACCTGGGGTGTCGGGGTAGCAAAAGTAGTCAAAGTGGCCAATCAAGAGCTTCAATAGGTATTGGCTTGCCTCAGAAAGGGGTTTAGGGCCTCGTACTTCTCGTACCGGATACGTGATCAGCACTATGGTGTTTGATGAGTTGCAGATCGCGCACCGAATAGGGTGATCGGCGTTGATAGGGACGGACCTCGGCTGTGGATTAATTCGCCTAACGTAAAGATGGACCTGGAAACTAATGCGAGTTGTACGTAGTATACGTTCTACTTAATAAGAATACAAGAATAGTTGGCCGCTTATGCAGCCTCTGTCCTTGACGACTTAAGACTTTAATACTCTGATCAATTTGGACAGAGATGGTATTAGGCATGTTATATGTAAGAACCCTCCGATATGTTTTTTGGATGTTGTTTTTATATGTCTTTTTTATGTCTTCTTGGGTGTATACGAAGATGGTAAAAAGCATAGATTGTGCAGATGACTTTCCTATGTTTGACCTTCGAAAAATTGAAAGCATCGCCTTGATCAGCGCACGAATGATTGTATGTGGTGAATGGATTGCATACTGTGAACCTAAGATATATTGCATGCCAGGGGTATTCCTATATTCCTATAAGCAGGTAGAAAACATGGCAGCTCGTACTTAGGTGACTATACGTACCACATTTTCTCTGGCAGGTGGGGCTTTCCTGGGAGGTAAACCGAAACTTCCGTTTCAATAACTAGGGTGGGCCAGCCGATGGTTGGCAAGCAACGAGAGCGCGGAACAAAAACATCATCACCCTGCTTCCCTTTCCCGGTAGCGGGGTGGTATGTCTTCACTCCAAACCACAGGTTGTCTTCCAAGGGAATTCCCATACGAACTAGCTTAGACGTGACGAAGTTCGCGAATTGGCGTGTTACTCCCTCATGGACGGGGCTAGGGACGACTTTGATAAGACCAGTGGTTTGTTCCCACTGGAACCGATAGGCTACTCCCTCGAGGCTGGTGTGGGCATTGTTGTCCAGCCTCTCATAATGTTTGGGCGCAGACCCAGCACCACAATCCATTGATTTCCATCATGGCCTTCAAACAACTTCATAATAACTCCAGCCTCCACTTGGGGTGCCTTCATGCGAGAGATGGTCCGGACGATACGCCCTTCTGGAAGACCTGGCATAAGGGAGGACGGGGGATTGTGGTCTTCCATGGCTGGTGGGATTGGATTGAAAGAGGATTTTGTATACGAGGAGTCATCGGCACACCCCAGGGAAGCAAAAATTCTTCTGATTTGAATCATAGACGTAAAGGATAAGCGGGAACCCAGATTAAATTTTACTCAGCCTGAGTCTGAGCTCATAAAAGCGGCAGCCAAGATAAGGAAGGCAGAGGAAATGTGGTACATATAGTCAGGTCTGCTGAGCGTATCAAATACTTGAAAAGTTTACCCTCTGGGGCGTAATAAACCCTTTCTTCGTCTCTCGATGTGAAAGCTTCGCTCAAGAATTTAGGAAGTTACTGAGGGCAAAATGCTACATACTATGAACACAGGCTAAATAATCTTAAAGAGCAAGTGCTCACATAAAATCCCATCTGCAGCCAGCTGGTGTACAGCTATAGTGCAAAGGTACACACCTACATACATTGATATGAAATCTGCAAGGTTCCAAGGTTAGTACGTTGTATTGAAGGGTCCGCCCGGCCCGGCCCGTGAGAAAGCTCTTTCGGGTGTTCCGGAAAATTCCAACCTTCCTTGGATGGCAATTTTTATTCCCATAGTGCACTATTATTAACTAAACTTTATTAAAGAGCCAAACTGGCACGATTTATTCATTAATTAGAAGCGGGACCTAATGAAGTTGAGACAAAGTACTCAAAAATAGACCAAAAGACAACGCTAACTTGAAAGGGTATAGAGCGCGTTCTGGTTTCAGTTGTCCACGGGCCTATCTCCGTTATTCCTTTTCCTTTTGGTTCCTCCATTTTGTAAAATCAGCGCTCCTCCTGCGGAAGTAATTAACTGGTTTTCCACTGTTGTATGCTGTTGTCCACATCATGCTCCCACAGCACTCAACTCCACCTAAAGAAGGCCGATTTCCTCCGTCATATCCGAGGTTCAAAGCCAAAACACGACGGAAGCGCATGCTTTTGCGGATCACTCGCTTCATTCTTGCGGTAGGAGCTGGATGGTTGATAATATCGTTTCTGCTCCTTAGGTCGCCATCTTCAGACGCAAAGAGTCTGCGATCGACTTCCAGCTTTGTCACGGACAGACTTTGGCAAATCTGGCCTACTGATATCAAGACTGCGGTATCACCGGTACATGATTCAACGTCGCAAGAGACGCCTGATGAAAAATCCATTGTGAAAAATCCAGCAGAGTTGCAGGAAAATGTAAACCCCGCAACAAGGAAAGACCAAGAGTCACTACAATCATTATCAAATAATGTCGAACACACCGACAAGAACACAAATTCAAAGAATGCAGAACCTGATTTCTCTAACGCCGCTCTTGACAAGCTTCTATCGACAATTCCCAACGATCTATACCTTCGAGAGCTCCTGTTACCAGTAATCGGCACGGGCGAGAAGAGGCTGCACGAGCTTGGCCTGCGCACACGCGCATATAAAAAGTTCTTCGAGACTTGGGAGGATTTCCACCTCGTCAACAACGATCATCATACTTACGTGCGAGATGATATTATCCCCTACATCCGCGACAGGTCCAGCGAGCCAACATTCCCTGAGACGCTACACAAATACGAATCTTACCGCCACTTTCTCACAAAATTCTCCGCGTTGTTGTTTCCGTGGACGAGCCCATACTTTGCAGATCATATGAGTTTGCACGTCTCATCACGCCGCGGAGGCCGCGGCATCGTTACGACGGCGGGCAATAATCATGCGCCTTTTCTACTAGCTGCTATCCCTTCCTTTCGCCTCCTGGGCTGTGACCTTCCAATCGAGATAATGTATCTCGGCGAGAGAGACTTGAGGGAAGACTTCCGCACAAAGCTTGATGCGCTACCAGGCGTCACAACGCGTGACCTCTCCGCAATGGTTAACGACGAAGGTTGGCAGCTCAATGGATGGGCTGGTAAGCCCTTTTCTATACTACTCTCGTCTTTCCGCGAAGTTCTGTTCATCGACGCGGACTCGCTGTTCTTCGTTAACCCCGAGGTACTATTTGATGACCCGGACTACGTGCGCACGGGCGCCCTTTTCTTCCGAGATAGAAATATCCTGCCGGAGAGTAAGAAGGAATGGCTGCAGAAGATCTTGCCGAAGCCGATTTCGGAATCCGTGCAGCAGAGCAGAATGTGGACCGGCGAGAGCGGGCATGTACAAGAGTCGGGAGTTGTTGTTGTGGATAAGTGGAAGCACTTTGTCGCATTGTTGCTCGTATGCAGAATGAATGGGCCAGACAGGGATGGTAATAAGGCGGACATTGTAGGGACTTATGATATGGTCTACGGTTCGTTTTGCGCCAATACATATCTTCCCAACCCCGTTTCTTTTTTGCTAACTCGCAGTGCTACACAGGTGATAAAGAAACCTTTTGGATTGGATGGGAGCTCGCTGGTGACACTTCCTATGCCTTCCACCCGGGTGGATCTGGAGTCATGGGCGTAGTCCAAACCCCTAACAACTTCAACTCCACTAATGAAGGGCCTATATCGACATTTGGCACAGGAACTGAAGTGGTCCCAACAAAAAAAGTTCGCAAAATGGCGCCTGGTCATGAGTCCGACGTAACCATCTGTGCCCCGCAACTTCTACATTTGGACCGCGAGAATCGCCCTTTGTGGTTCAATGGTTGGCTGTATGAGAATAAGTATGCGGGGAGCAAACGAGTTATCGGCAATTTTGAGATGTTTATGGAGGAGCCGAGCGAATCATTGGATCCAGCGGCGTGGCAACTAGAGGAGAGCAATCTCTGTTGCTTGTCAAATTCTGCGGCAAAGGACTTTACAAAGCAGGAGGCCGAATGGCTTGGAGTGTTGATTGGCATGGCAAAGACGGTTGAGAGCTAGCGGAGGAAGAATATATTCATGTCTGCATTGACTGCGCTCCAGCGTATACGCAAAGGAAAGGTCTCACGGACCGGAGGTGACAACTATCGGGTCAAGAAGGATGTAACCAACTTGGGAAGTCATCAAAAGACACACCAAAAGATCCTTCTTTCTTTCTTCCTCCTCCCACGCTCCCACACAACTATTCTTCCAAGAGGACTTTCGTGAATAGCCAGAACCAGGCACAACCTTGGATTGAAAATGGCTTGCTGAAGGATCAATATACAACACTAGCGAAGGAGAAACTGCCGATCAGAATGGGTGAGAAGTACACGCAGGTTGTTGTCAACTGCCTGTCTTACATAGATACGACGAACGAAGACTTTGGCGATGAGAGCGAGTTCGAGGATAATGATGTAATTTTGATTGGGGTTAAGTACATTGAAAAGGTATGGATTATGCATGGGCAAACTTGGAACAGTTCGATGAGATGATAGCAAAGCTGACTATGATATAGATCCTTCTTCAGCTTAGTGAAATGTCAGTCTAACAAGCAAAATCTCAAACCATTTGTGACTTATTTGCAACCAATGAAACAATGCGAGACTTGACTGATTCTCATTTCTTTTGAGCTATATATAATCGAGACGGTTTGAATTACTCTGGTTTTATCGAAGGAATAAACCTAACCAGGGTCGAGACCTCGGGAGAGCACCCAAAATATAAATCGGTGGTGGAAGAACGGAGAGTACTAACTAGCTGCCAAATCTCTATCTTTCAGGATGCAGGGTTTTAGCATGAAGGGTGAGAGTTCTTCGATAGTTAGTATTATATGACAGTTTCCCCTACTCATGTATTGGATGATCATTTGAACAAATTTATCTGCGACGCGCAGCATCATACGAAATGCTTTTCGAAACTGTAGGCGTGTTCTTTTTTCACCACCACTGTAGGCCAACAGTATATACGACTATGTACGTTTTTTGAGGTTAAAGTTACAACACCAAAAGTCTCTTGAATTCAAAGCTAGATACTAATAAAGCAATCGCCAATCTTGTTTGGTTGAGATGAATGTTTCCAGGTACATCAATGACCAAGAGCATAGCAGGCGAATAATTCTCTGTATATTCAGCCCACTCCGGTCAGAGATGTAATGGAAGTTTTGTTCTATGGCCCGGCTGGGTGTACTGATCCGAAAGTATGTGTATGTCCTTTGGATCCTGTACCCATGCAACAGACCGATAAGTCTCTTTTCCTTGACTCGAAAGCCTACAACCCACATGAAAGCCCACTGCCCACAGAAAGGTGCCCGAAGGACAAACAAGTATACCGCGAGGTTTGGAGCTCCAACTTGTTTCTTCGCTTTTTCGAAAAAGAGCGGGGTTGCATGGCCAGTTGCAAGTGGATCACACAGTTGGTGTGTAATTCCGAAAACTCCGCTGAATGCACTGATCAGGCATAACCCCAAGTTAGTAACGAAAACGAACAGATTAAGTAGAAGGACTCACCTGGAGTTTAGCCGGACCCGCCTGAACTGGGATCGTGCACCCCCAGTCTGACTTCAGGCCTTCCCACGAAGGTTCTGATGAGAGAAGAGCACAGGTTAGAAATGATGAACAACCACAGACGGGGAAGAACGTACTTGGACTTGCGTCCCGGATGCCCCGCAAGACGAAGTGGCAAAGCGTATTGCTACAGCAGGTACCCACTCCGCCTCAGGCTTCCAAACCCGCATGGATTGATGGGACTCGCGGATGATCCCATCTGCCTCCCCAAGTTTTACAGCACAGCATCCTCCGAAGAGGAGGTACCGACTTGGTCCGGGCAACGGCAAAATGGTTCTAATGGAAGGGGAAGGTGGTTAGGAATGGTAAAATACCAACTGGCTGGAGAACTCACCCCAACATCACCAAGGCTGACAGGACAATCAAAGAGAGCCCATGCTTAGCGCAGGTACATACTTTGCCGCCATCCAACGAAGGTTCTGAGAGGAGACAAGTTAGTGATGAGGAAAGAATTGTCACTGGTAGGAGAACATACAACCACTGCCGAGGCTTGGGGGGCTCGGCATGGGGTTTCCGACGAAGGCTCTAAACAAGAGAAAGCACCAGTCAGACTTGTCAAAACTTATGTCGAGAACCTGCAGGTGGGATAACATACGGTACCCGTTCGATATGTACAGGAGACCCTGCAGTGTCCCCTGTATATCTACTAAGGCTGTCGATTGCCAGCAGATCATCTTGACTGAGGAGAGAGAGTGTTGCTCACCTTTACCACTACTCAATGCAATCAGGGAAGCCGTGCCAGATTAGTAGATCTGGAAAGCTTGTGATGGAGGTGGTTGACAGGAGGAAGTTTGAAAAGCCTGGGTGGGAGGCTTTTATCTGGGGGACCTCGCGACGTGACAGCTCAAGTGCTGGCTGTTAGAGAAGGTGCGACTCAACTCGACCTGGCCTAATTGGGAAGCGACAGCCCCACTTTTATCTCCACAAACAAAGAGAACAAAGAAAATAAAGAACATGCTACTAAGCCTAATTGGGAAAAGGAGGTGGCTGCAGGTGGGTGGGTACATCAGCTGATAATTCAAGTAAACAATGCCTACTCCGTACAACATAGGGGGTTCGATTATGGCATGAATTACAAAAGCCCGGGGCTCTGGCGGTTGCCTACGTAAGTGATGAATAGCTGCAGTGCTACGACCATCGAGGTGGACATCGCAGGGACTGAATCAATAGCTGTCCAATCATAAATGAGACATTTCTCCCCCTACTCGCAGTCATGGAATAGAAGAGAGTATTACAGTCAAGGATACCACCAGAGCACTGCTCATGCACATGAAGACTATCTCTATATGTCTAATTCACTTGAACAGCGTGAGACGAGTAATCAGCGGGGAAAATCCAAGAATCGAATAGTAGGACCAGTGACATGTGAGCCTGTGATTTGTCAATTGTTTTTTCAATCTTCGATATTTGGCACTCTATAATCTGTAATGCAACCTCCCGGCTGTTTAGACCAAGGCATATGTTTTCTTCCTCTGAGACTGCCTACAGTTTCGATCATGGTATATCTATCAGCCCAGACCCGGTAGCTCTCTTTTCAGCCTTAAAAACAGACAAAGATGTAATGACAGTGTACTACTTACAAAGACGATATTTCCTTGACATCTTTTTTTTTTTGGACTGAGCGAAAACAATGTAGAATGGGTACATTATAACTATTTGACTTTGATATCAATCAATTTGCGTGATTAAGCTCGACATACAGGTATTCGACAAACAAGTAAGATATATGCCCTCTTCGCTAGCAAGTAAAACCAAGGGACTAAAAGTTCCAGTCTTCAAGAGTGATCAGACACACTGATCGACAAATCTCCATCATTTAGGGCGGGGAACGGATGCCAACAGAGATGACATGTGCCGAGTGGGGTTGTCGATCTTTTGTTTACAGCTGATTTCTTATATCAGTAACGAGATATCCAAAAATACAAAGAGACCAAGAGACCAAGGTATCTTGAACAAGATATCTGGATCATCTCCCCAAAGATCAGTCTACAAATCCACCTTCAAAATCCGACCCAAATAAACAGCCAAGAGCCATGGACAACCCCACCCCGCAACCGAACCCAAACCCAAATCCAACTGCAGACCCAGCAAACACAACAGACGACCAACAACAAAAAGAAGCGCTGGCAGCCTTTACCGCAACACTTCACTCGGTTGGAACAAACCTCGAAGCGCCGCTCCGTGACCGCGCAGCAAACATCCAATCCAACGCGGCGGCGCTGGAAAGACAAGAAGCCGAGCTCGCGGAGAATACGCAGCGACTAGCGCGGCAGAATCAGCAGTGGGTTGGATTCGCGGATGAGACCCGCGACGGGTTAAAGGAGATCGGGGATGTGCAGAATTGGGCGGAGATGATTGAGCGGGATTTGCTGGCTTTGGAGGATATGATGGATGTTGTTGAGAGGGGCCATGGGGAACATGGAAGTGAGGATGGAGATGATCGGGGGGATAGTGATACGGAACTAAATGGGATTGTTGAGAATGGCAATTCAAATGGGCAAACTGGGCATGTTGATGTTGATGCTAATGGGAAGAAGGTGGATCAGCCGGCGAAAGGGTGGTTGCGATGGTGGTGATGGTTCATGTCTTTGTTCATTTGATTTGTTGTTCCTGTTATACATCTATATCACGCACAGGGTATCGTTATGGACTATTCTTCATCTTCTTCGTCTTCTGCTTCTGCTCCTTCCAAGTATTGTTTCCAAGGGTCGAGTCCTTCGGTTTCCTGAAATTCATTCCATTCATCCCACTGGCCCAGACTCATCAAGTGCCGCATGGTCGGTCGACCATGGGGGCAATTCCACGGTTTATCGATAGTACCCATATTCTGAACAACTCGTTCCATCTGGCGACTCGTCAAGGTTTTACCAATCATGATACTTGAGCGACAAGCGCGCATAGCAAACATTTTACGCACTTTGCTTGGTCGTGGTACTGACAGTCCATCCGATGTTGAAATTGACTCTGACAGCAACACGATCAGTTCCTCTAGATCTCGTACGCCGAATACCACTTCCTTGCTTAGCGGTAACGAGACCAGTTGGCATCGACGACCGATAGGCTCATCGCCGCTTTCATCGATAGTCACAAGGAAACCGTTTTTCTCAAGAGCAGCGCGATTCTCAAGGACAACCTCTTCTTCAACGGCAGTGAGATCTAGGCGTTGCGGACGGACGAGTCGCTGGTTTTGCACTACGGTTTCGGCCTGCAGGCGCTCGAAGTTGAATTTCTCATCAGAGGCATGTTGGTCGATAATAAAGAGCTCATCGTGGTCTTCTCCTGGTCGGACTGCGATGATGAAGCCCAAGTTGAACTGGCCGATGATGCGCATTTGGGCGAAATCGTTCTTGCTTACCGTCAAGGAAAGTTTGTCCTCGGCGGTTTTTTCGCCAAGATCAGTGGCTTCCTCTTTCGTTTTATTGGTGCCCGCTTGCATGGTCTTTTGCAATGTGATGAGTTGAGATTGGAGACGTGAAATAGACCCGTCTACCGTGCCGACAAGCTGTATAGTCGCGTCGCGATGCCCAGCACCCTTGCTCATCTTCTTTGCACGGTTCGCGCTGTTTTCTTGGGGAAGCACGGCAGTCTCTTCGGCTTCATGAATGAGCCGTTGAACTGTAGCTTCTTCCTGCGCCCTCTTCTGAGCTTCGTCGAGATTCTCATCTGCGGCAGTGTCTGTGTCTTTTGCCTCGGTGATTTCACTTTCCGATTGAACTACACCTTGGTCGGGAACATAGTCGGCATCCTCGGCTGGAGAAAAGCCCTCGTCTGCGGGCTCTTGCTCATCGCCTTGTGTGTCCTCGATTTCACTTAGAAGGGTATTTCCATCTTCTTCAATCTGGTCATCTTCACTAGCAGAGGCCTCTTCGTCTTCTTCATTATCCAGCTGTGACCCAGGTGCAGCAAACGCTTTCATATGTTCACCAAAGATATTAGGCCGTGATGGTGTGTGTATCCGTCTCTTCCGCCGAGGCGGCTCTTTAATTAAAGGTGGATCTTCTGAGAATCGTTTTCGTGGAGGACCACTACCTACCATGGACGTCACAGTTCGGCTACCAATAGTAATGGTAGCCAGTTCGGCGGGTTCTCGTCGTGGACGCATTCTATCGAAGGCATTCTGGACAATGTTGGGGATTTCTTCTGGGTCTCCACGTGCGCGAGATGGAGTCTCGTCGGGAGCTGATGGCTGGGATGATGGTTCTTGGGAGAGAGGGGTTGGCTCAGGTTCCTCCTCCTGGGCTTCTTGGACGAAAAGTTCATCGTCAGAGATATCCGCAGCAGGCGTTTCTAGTTCACTTGGGGCTGGCGTCGACATGGAAGAGCGATTGGTTGCAGCACGGGGTGTTCTCATTGATCGAGCGGGAGACGGCGTGGCTTGCGCACTTCCAATGCCTGCTTGTGAGCTCGTGAAACGCTGGATCGCGCTCTGTTGACTTGCCCCTGGAGTCTCCACTGAGCTTTCTTTCGTCCGATCTTGACTGGGACTTCTAAGTCCACTGCTTTCGCTCAGCTCACGGGCAGTGACGAATCCTGGAAGCGATGATAGTGGTTGCTGTTTTGGCAAAGGCTTGGATTTGACCGATGACTGCGGCACAGTTTGGTCTGCATCCCCAAAGAGTTGTGTAAGAGAAACCTTGAGCGATTCAATCATAGCCCCCGCATCATGAAGCAGAATTTGGCGCTTATCAGGCGAAACGTTGACATCGTAAGCGTTTGTATCCATCTGAAAGTCCGCAAAGATAAACGCTGACTGTGAGACATTGAACGACTTGTAAACCTCGTTGAACGCCTTCTGAATCTGCGGCAGGCCACATGGCCGCGAGTTGACAAAGAACATCTGACGATCTGGAGTCTGACGGCCCTCGCCGAATACAGGACGCGAGATATGGCCTCGCACCTGGATTTTACTCAGTTGGTCATCGCCAACCCGTTTCGTAGCTGCGGCAGGCTCAAACTCCAAGTCTAGATCAAGGGATATCAGGGCGGATAAAGTCTTCGCGCCATACACATTGGCAATATTCTCCTTGGTAGTCTTATTTCCATTGGTAGAAAAGACCACCACGTTCCGTGTCTTGCCAACAGTGTTCCTGACACTGAACCGGACTCCAGTGCTGATACATGCATAGGCATGTAGCAGATTCAGAACTTTCCCATATTCCCGCTTGATGTTCTTCTCCAATTCCCGTCGACGCACTGGAAGCCGCTTGAAGATGCCTTCTACCGATGCCGTCGTTCCTTTCTGCCCAGCCACGATCTGTGTCTTTCGGAGTTTCCCGGATTGTTCGAACTCGAGTCGATTCGCGCGGGGAACTTGCTTTTCCTGTGCTGTGACGATGTGGAATTCGGCCAACGCGCAGAGGGATGATATCGCCTCGCCCCGGAAACCGAAGGTGTGCAGGCTCGAGAGGTCATCGTATGACGACAATTTGGAGGTATAATGTTTCAAAGCTAGAAGATAGAGAAAATCAGCTTGGGTGCAATGTACCAAGAAAAAAGTGAAAACTCACCGACGTTCTCATAGTTCTCCGGCGAGATTCCGCTGCCGTTATCTTGGACCTCAATTAGGTCCAGTCCATTATTCTTAAATCGGACCTCTGAAACCGCCGAACTCATCAGAAAATGTGTCACAAACCATATCCGGAAAGTTGTTCACCCACCGATCGTCGTTGCGCCGGCATCCAGACTGTTTTCCACAAGCTCTTTGGCGACGGAGCATAAGTCAACGATGACTTGGCCCGATTGGATTTGGTGTACCTAATCAATACGCTGGTCAGATTGGGACTTTGCAGGAAGATATCGGATTCCATACAGAGCGGGCCTCGATGGCTTGTATTGTGGCCATCTTCATCCCATGTTGTCTGCAGAGGAAAAGTTGGCACGCGTCTCACTTAACGCGTGGGTTTGCCAAGACCGCGGTGGGCCGGTTGGATATGACAGCTCTATACATTTGATGACGCCCCTGTTCTAATTGACCGAAAAACGTTTTATTTGCGCTACGAGTGGATATATGTACTCATTTGCGAAATGTGTAGCATTGCAATTATGGATATAAACCAACAACGGACGAATCAGGAGCAACATTATCGCTCTTAACGCCCAAAATCAACGATTAAAAAAAAACCTAATAAACACCGAAGCGATCAGGCAGCATAACAGGCGCAACCAAAGTCCACAAATAGATAGCATAGCAGACCCAGGAGCTGACGATCTTCACCCAGCTGGCCCAGTATGTGCGGCCCACCGGTGCGAAATCTGTCGTGGTCTCCAGTGTCAGTCCCTGGACTAACAAAGTGGCCACCCATGTCGTGGCGAGGAAGAAGATGATGTGGAAGAGCGAGTAATTGTATTGGGTTGAACCACGCTCGTCGTCCTTCGTGGTGTCATAGTCATCCTCGTCATCACTATCATCCAGGGCACTGGCAGGAAGACTACCGCTCTCGACAGCGGCCCGGAGAGCTTCAGCGCGCATCTCCCGACGGGCGTTTGGTTGTTGGGTCACCAAACCGTGCTCGTTGTCATCCGTGCCCAGCTGGACGTAGCTGTGGCCGCCCTTTGATCCCAAGGCAATTCCTTGAGTGGCAGCGCGTGTGGTGGTGTATGCGATGGTCAGCATAGTAACAATCGCACCAAGGACGATAGTGGCAGTCCTGGGTCCTTGGGACCGGATGAGGGGGTTGCATTTCTTGTCATCCGGTTCCATCGAAACGGCAGACATAGTGAGGTAGGTGCAATAAACAGTGACCATTGCAGCCTGCGCTAGTCCTGCGCGAGAGTTCGATTCTTGCACTGCTGGTTGAACGGAAACAAAAGAGATGATCAAAAATACGACCAGGTTAACCTGCGACGAGTCAGTTGAGTGCCAAGATTCGTGGTGTGAGGGATACATACGGTGATGGCAACCTGGTTCATAGTGCAACCGCTGTTCGCGAAGAAGATATACATCAGGATGGTCATGACGAGTGATGCCAAGTACATGCCGAGGGTCGAACCAATAAGCAGACCGCGCCACACACGAGAGTCGCTGTCTTCGATCTTCTGCAGACATAGCTCCGCCCACGAGTGCGCAAGGTCCACCAGAAGGATCAAACCCAAAAGCAGGAAGAGCATGGCGCAGAAGAAGGCGATATAGTTGCCGTAGACGAAGAAGAAGGGTTCGGGAATGAAGAACGACATGACGACAAAGGCCATCCAGAGGATGACCTTCGGACCCCAATATCCATTCTGGAGAGCGGCGCGAGTATCTTTCGAGCTTTTAACCCCGAGAAGCAAAAGGGCCAGGATTAGATGGAAGAGACCGAGGGCAAAGTTGATACGATGGACCGCGACCCAGCCATGACATTCCTTCCCGTCGCATCGAATCTCCATATAATCCAGTGTCAAATTTTGCAATTTTTTCAGAGCCCATGGAGTGAGCATAATCCAGGAGATTATGGAGTTGATCAATAAGATGAAGGCATAGGCGATTCTCGTCGCCATACTGTTGTAGCTTGTTAGTCCAAGGTTTTCCGCACTAGGCAGCTGATAGAAGGTACCTGTTTTGAAACTTTCCGCAGGCGCTGCAGACCGCAGAACATGTCGCTGCTCCACAGCATGATGTCGCGACTGTCAAGAGCTGTTGAGGAAGAAAATCAAGTCAGCTAACTGTTCAATGAGTGTATCGGTGAACTGGAGATTGGTAGGCGACAACATACTGTACCAACACTCGGCACGGCCAACAGCGGAATGGAAAGGAGGGCACCCATCTTGGAGTGCAGATGTCGTATAACCCGCTGTCCTAGTTCTAATGTACAACCTTGGAAGTGAGACAAGATCCAGAATCGATGAGAGTGTGGAGAGAGGCAAGTGATCAGATTGAAGATCATCACCTGAGGCCGCCTCCGTCATTAATGTTACGTAATATATCCAACTCAAAAACATATCACGTGCCAAGCCTCTTTGCCCATTTGGGATTAGACTCTCCACTCCCGCTATGAAGCATGACACTCGACATCATCGTCAAAAGATTGATTGTTTTTCTGAGGGGTAGGGGAACTCCAAAGGTCTAAGTTTGTTTAGTATGACATTTGAGCTAGTTCCTAGGTGCTGGCGAGATCATCTACAATAAGAGAAAACTGATACCCCTTTGTTGAACATGGTCTCAAGACAGAGGGCAAAGCTCGGACATAACCGATAAGAAAATGAGTTGTCAGATGAGATAGTAACTAGTTAGAAGGTAACTACATGTAGAGTATAGATACATCGAGGACAGCCATTACTATGTCGTACATACAATCTACATCGTACATATGTACATAGTTATGTAGACACCTGGGCTACCAGGACCTAATTAAACAAAGAAGAGCCCGCGGGCATGTTGTAAATCAGGCACAAGCTATGGCCTTCAGGCATCCGGCATCGAGTCCGCCTTATCGCGCGTGGAGAAACGGCATTTGGCCGTGTAATCGAACTATGACGAGGCCCGATTCGCGCAATCCCGGAGGATTTGACGGATTTGCATAATCTTGATGTGAGTTATCAATGCAACGTAGGACTTAAGACGACATACATTTTCATTCCTCTTTTTTCCCCTCCACGATTTTTTTACATTTTAGAGATCAATTCATCCTCCATCGTATTTGTACATCAGTTGACGTGGAGCAAACTTTCCTTGGCGCTTGCTTGACGGCTGTTCCGACCACGCGGCCTCCGGGATCATCTCCAAGTCCTTACCTAAGTGTACGCTCCTGAAAACTCCCAAGTGGCCTTCTTCCCTCAATTCCTCCTATATAACTCCATTCGCTCTTTTTGCCCTCTTCGTCCTTCGTTTCGGGTCCGATGTTTCTCCTAGTGTCGGCCTCACATCTGTCTAGGGCCTAATCAACCACTCCCGCCGCTAAAACACTTGTATCACACAATATACAACATATCAACCAGAACCACTCTCAGGGAAACGACATAATGACCGGCTCTCTCCACCGAACTGGCCGGATTATTTCCGTCATTGCGGGGACGCTGGTCGCCCTCTCATGCGGAACCAATGTACGTGATATATCCGACCTTATCCCCGTTCAGGACCATTAAGGTTAACTCCCTTGTCAGTATGCATACTCCGCGTGGGCGCCGCAATTCGCGCAGCGCATGAAACTCTCTTCGACAGAGAGCAACTTTATCGTGAGTTGTCCCGTGTCCAGTGCCGGGAATCGGGTCTTAACAGTCTCTAGGGTGTCGCGGGGAACCTGGGGATGTATGCTATGGGGATTCCAATGGGATTATTGACAGATGCCCGCGGTCCCCAACTGGTCGCGCTGATCGGATCTATTTCCCTGGGCCTGGGTTACTTCCCAATCTATATGGGTATGTCTTTACATTACCTTGTCGGAATCGAGCAGCTCTAATGTTTGTAGCATATGATAATGGCCAAGGATCGATGCCGGTTGTCTTCCTGTGCCTCTTCACTTTCCTTACTGGAATGGGCGGTTGCGCTGCCTTTGGTGGTGCCATCAAAACAGGTATGTTACACCAAGGAATATGCTTGACAGAGTTAACGCAATGATTCCAGCGGCATCCAACTTCCCCGAACACCGCGGCACGGCAACCGCTTTCCCGATGGCCGCCTTTGGACTGAGCGCGCTATTCTGGTCCAATCTGTCGACTCTCATTTTCAAGGACAATACCGGCAACTTTCTTTTACTTCTATCCCTCGGAACCTCGATTCTGAGCTTCGCCTCAATTCCATTCCTTCGAATCCTCGCCAGCGAGCCGTACTCTTCCATCCCACACAACGCACACGAACGCAACACCAGCGACCTTCGATCGGTCCCAGAGGACTCCGACCTACATGGCTCTACCGCTTTTGATCACGAACAATACCCCGCGCATGCGCGGTCGCACTCGGTTGCCTCGAACTCCCAAGGCAGAGCATTCGCCAATGACGACGAGACTTCCACCTTGGTATCCAAGCGCGACCGCCCGCGCCCCTCTTTCGATACACTTGACGATGACTTCCTAGACGAAGTGGCCATTGAGGCGCACCAAAACGACATCAGAGGTCTCGCCATGCTCCGCAAAGTCGAGTTCTGGCAGCTCTTCTTGACCATGGCACTCTTGTCCGGTATCGGCTTGATGACCATCAACAACATCGGCAACAGCGTGAAGGCCCTTTGGCTATACTACGACGACAGCGCAACAGACCTGTTCATCCAACACCGCCAGGTCATGCACGTCTCCATTCTTTCCTTCGGCAACTTCCTCGGCCGTCTATTCAGCGGCATCGGCTCTGACCTACTAGTCAAGAAGCTTGGCATGTCCCGCAGCTGGTGTTTATTTTTGTCAGCGGTAGTCTTCACCCTAACCCAGCTCGCCGGCACCACCATTTCCAACCCGAACAGCCTCGTCGTTGTCTCCGGCTTCACCGGAATCGCTTACGGCTTCCTGTTTGGCGTCTTCCCTTCCCTAACCGCACACACTTTCGGCATCGGCGGTCTGTCCCAGAATTGGGGCGTCATGACACTAGCCCCAGTGTTCAGTGGTAACGTTTTCAATTTGCTATACGGTAACATCTATGATGGACACTCTGTTGTTGGCCACGATGGCGACCGCGAGTGCCCCGATGGATTGGGCTGCTACCGCTCAGCCTATTTCATGACTTTCGTTTCCGGGTTGTTTGGTATCGCTGTTTGTCTGTGGACCATTATCCGCGAGAGAAACATTAATAACATCATGAGCAAGAAGCTGGACCACCGACTCGCGTGATTTTGAAGATTCTTTTCCATCAATTTGGATCATCTAGGTGCAATAGTACCTGCAGGCAGGCATGGGCTTATGAATTGCTTTCTTGCTTGCACATTCACCTAGATCTTTTGGCGGTTTGTTATGACTTCTCATAGAGTACATTTCATGATGGATGTTATTTGGCTGGTGTCCTTATTTGGTATACCCATGATGCACTGTTTTCTCTATAGACTTGATACCTTGCGTGTGACTTTCTTTCTTTGGATTATCCCACCTTTCCATGGGCCAGAACTTGGTCAATTTCATTACTATACATTTGGAGATTATGCGGTATTATTCAACTTTTCCAAGTACATGTAGTTTTTAGCCTCGATCTCGATCTAAGAGTCAATATGCTTCGATGTTCCTTACCAATTTGCATACTCTGCCACCTCATCCATGCTATATTCAAACGAACTCTTGAGATTGCTACGAACTGAAGATTCGGCATGACACTTTCATTTTCCTACTAACATACATGTAGAATATCACAACACAGAAAGCGAGAACGTTCGTTTAAATCAATCAAAAAACAGAAACCCCGGCCCGTAGACCCGTCAAAGCTGGCCTAAACAATCAAACAGTTGCATTGCTCTATCAAAGCAGCAAACTGAAATAATGATGATTGCAAGCACCAACTAGCACATTGAGAGAAACATCCCAGGCAAAACACCCGGACGACAAGACATTTCCCAGTTGGATCACCGACCCATCGATCTTCCGGACGCTTGAGTTCTGGAAGAAGAAAAGGATAGGGATCAAGTATTGTATTAGAAGCATAGTGAAAGAGTTCGTACAGCACACCGCAAGGAAAGCAAATTAAAACAAGATGTTTGGAGAAACATCCGGACATAAGAAAGTAAGAGAAATTGAGACCGTTCAATAGTAGCTTTTGTGGGGAAAGTTCCAGCCAGTGATGACGAAGGAGCCATGAAGGGTATCAAGAATATCAGAGGTTGGAGGGGACCAGCAAGCGTAATGTAGCTCATAGGCTTGTACTACCCGTGGACCGATGAGGGAGTGAATAAGCAGGTGGGAACTGGAGGGCCGGAAATAGCAGGGTACCGCAAGACCTAAACGCTCTTGGGAGATTTGACCAGCACATCCTCGCCAGATTCCACAACATCCGACAGCCGGATCTTTTTTGCGAGCGGCTCGCCGGACTCGGCGTCACCGGCGCTGTTAGAACCAAACTGGCGCTCGAGATCGCTAACGCGACGCTTTAGATCCTCCTCGCGACGCTGAGCATCCTCGAGAGACCGTCTCAGACGAACCTCGGAGTCTCGTACAATCATCTCCGATCGACGGGCGCTGGCGTCACTTTGTTCGAGTTCCGTGACGCGACCGCGGAAGAGCTCGTTGACGAACTCGAGTTCACTGACGCGTGTCTTCAGGGATGTGTTGAGGGCCAGGAGACTTTCGAATGTGTGGGGGGAATCGAGTTGGCGGTCGACTGCCGAGGGAGAGGGTTGGCGCATCTGCCGGGAGGGGAGGCCGCTGGAAGAGTTCATGCTGTCGCCTAGGGTAACACTGTCGAACATGTGCTGCGGTGCGATATTCGAGTTGTGCGCGTGCATCGATCCAAAACCAGGTGTCTCGGTCCGGGAAACGGGGGAGTTGGAGCGATCCGAATGACCCGAAGACATCTTGCGCGACGCGCGACGGTATCCATGCGAGCCGAGGGGAGGGGTCCCCGCCTCAGATCGTGGCGGGAGGCCATTGGTATCAACAGGGCCGCCAGACTACGGAATCACAATCTCGATTAGCGCATGTTCTTATCTAAGACAGGTGGAATTTGGAGGCAGGGGACGGGGAGGAAAATTTTTTTGATCGCGAACTCACCTTGCGCTTGGGGCCCTGTCCGGTCTTCACGCGATTGCGACTTTTAATCACATCTGTTTTCAAGCTTATCGGGCGAGGTCGGCCATGCAGTTTCAAGAAGAGTCCACAAGCATTGCAGAGGACTGAACCGACTTCGTCCCTACGCCACAGGGGAGTGGTAGAGGTGCCGCAATTTTGGCAAACGGGCTGTAATTGAGGTCGCTTGTCGTCAGTCAATGTGGTCGCCATTATGAGAGGGTATAGAAGTTAGGAAGAGGAAGAGGATGATAAGATTGTGAGAGATTTGAGTCGATAAGGAAAGGGAAAAAGCGGGTGCACGGATCGAGTGGCGCCAAGACTTTTGATAACTCCTCAGAGATAAGACTTCCAGCGCTCCGATAACAGGTTCCCAATATAAGGCATATTTCACACTTACAGGTCCACTCCCTTGTCCTCCTGTCGTAGCTGCCGGTGATGATGTAGCGTAGGTCATATTTGCCATACTCATACTCGCATCACTGGATGAACTAAAAATGGGAGGGAAAATATCTGGATTAGCCAATTGATTCAAATTCTTATGAGGGGCCATATTACTGCTCTTCAGGGCCCGATTGAAGATTACGCAAAGATAGATCGCCCGAAGGCCCACGGGTGGTTTCCATTTAGGACTGGTATGGGATATTAACGCACCGAAGATTAGAGGTTGGTGCTGAAGCGACCGAAGCCAGAGCTGCAAGTCCAGGAAGCGAGGTGCTAACAGAAGAGCCTGGGTATCCGTCGCTCTCGCCTGAGCCGAATTTGGTTACGCTCTTGATATCCGGTAGTGTCGTAGAAAACGGTGTGGATCCGTTGGACGCGTGACGGGCGGAAGAATTGTCGGCGGACAAGTCGTAAGGAAACTCACGCTCCTGTGAAGAACCAGATTTGAGAGCCGGGTCGATGGGCGACGCCCGATAGAGGGTGGAAGCCACCGTGGAGGGGAGAGGTAGGTGTCGATTGAAATCCGGCCCTAGACCGAATTGAAGCGGAAACGGTAGGTGTCAAACGAATCGCGCGACGGATGCGATTGGGAACAACGGACTCGGAGCAGGACTCGGAGTCAATGGTTCTATATCAAGACAATTCCTCAGTGATCAATTCGATGCGAAGTTCCAATGATTCTTGATACCGGAGAGGAGGGAGAGGATTAGGCTTCCCGACAATTATTGTGTCTGAAGAAGTTAATAAGACCGAAGAAAAGAATGAAGTTTTAAATTAACGACATGATGGCCGATGATAGGTGAGGGTAGGGGTTGAAAGAAGATGCAGAATTGAGATGGACGATAAGACGCGATAATAACAATTCCAAGGTTGGGATAACGATTGCCCCAGTATCAACCATTATTTAATACGGTATGTCAGGGGCGTCAACGCTTGATGTTTTTCTCTCGCAAAGAATGTATTTCAATTAACCAGCTCTGTTCTGGCTCTTCATTCTACGCCCCCCAGCCTCTTGATATCGGGAAGCGCAACAATCAGTCCATTCCGCACTTATCTGATTTGCTTACGGGTGATCAAATCCTGGACGGGTTTTATGTGTATCAAATTTCCTGCACCTGAGCGGATATTTGCCAGCGTGGCGGATTTACCAACATTGACCGTCTATATGGAGTTACCATCCCCTGAATATCCCAATTCATCATAGAGGGGTCCCATATGGAGATCAATTGCGGCGGTTCTAGCCAAGTTTCAGGGCTTTTAACACATGATACTCGATGCATCCATCCATCAACACCCCTTTCGATTAGGGGGTGGAGACAGAGTGTGGCGGTGCGTAAATGTATAACGGTCATTAACAAAGTGGACCTGCCCGCGTCACGCAATTTAGTGCATTCTGCCATGCATTACGCCACCGCCTGTGTAAATTAACTGTAACCATACTTTCCGGACGCCCCCTTGGGCCTCCGGACATAGGTGACACTTATTTCAACTACCTTCACTTTATCAACTCTCTATTCTATCCACCAGCGGTCTTTTCCTTGCCTTCTCTGTAATGGATTAACCTCTTTTTGGTGTCCTTTCGTTCTTTTGCCGGCCTTCCTCTCTTTTTACTACTGGTTATTTTGCCCGTTTTCATCTTCCATAGATCAAACCACCCTCAATCACAATGCCGAAGACTCGTCCTGCCACCTCGGGATATGCCCGGCTTGCCCAGGCTGAAGAGGAACGGGGGTACCTTCAAGATGACTCCGAAGACGACGACATCGGCGCGCTCTCAACAGCGTCTACCTCCGCTCCCCGATACGCTCCCGTCTCCTCCAGAGCCCAGATGCAGGCGTCCGGTCTCCACACTCCCCCAGGCCATCGACGCAGACACAGTGGTTTCCAGCATTCTCAAGGTCGTAGGAACTCCGGGGTTGATATTAAGGCCATCAATGCGCGTCTTGAAAAATGGGCGGACGAGATTGCCTCCAAATTCAAGATCAACCGTGTCAAGGGCAAAAGCTATGAAGAAGAGAAGCTGGAGATTTACCATTCGGTCTTCCAGGCACCTCCCGGGGTTACCCCCGTGACCGCCGAAGCTCTCGAGTCAGATGAGTTTGAGGGTCAGCAACGGCGCGCTCGCGCCGAGTACGAGGAGATTATCGAAAGTGTGCGTCTCGCGATTGAAATGGACGTACATCCTCGGATGATCTCACAAGGAAGTTCGGGGAGCTACTTTGCTCGAAACCCTGAAGGGAAAGTAGTGGGTGTGTTCAAGCCAAAGGACGAAGAGCCGTACGCCTCACGAAACCCTAAATGGACAAAATGGCTTCACCGCAACTTGTTCCCCTGCTTTTTCGGCCGCGCGTGTCTTATTCCCAATCTCTCCTACGTCTCCGAAGCCGCCGCTTACGTTCTCGATGCCCGACTCCACACGAACCTCGTCCCCTACACCGGTATTGTACGACTGTCCTCGAGGTCATTCTTCTACGATTTCTGGGATCGGAGAAAAGCACGGAAAGGCAAAAAAGTCCTGCCTCCCAAGGCTGGCAGTTTCCAAGTCTTCCTCAAGGGATTCAAGGACGCCAACATTTTCCTCCGAGAACATCCCTGGCCTGACCAGGCGAATACTGGATTCCGCACCGAGGATGCCCCGAAGCGCAAGAAGCGGCCATGGAACGAGGCCTGTCGTCCATCGGGGGCACAGTCAGACGACGAGGATGACGAAGATCCGGGCTATGTGCCCTCACCCGCCGGTTCGCGCGACGAAAGTGCTGAGCGCCGGTTCTACTGGACCGAGAATCTCAAGCAATCCTTCCGCGAAGAGTTGGAGAAACTTGTGATCCTGGATTATATCATGCGAAATACCGATCGAGGTCTGGACAACTGGATGGTCAAGATTGACTGGGGAACAGAGCAGGTTTCTATCGTGGCAGAGCCCCCAAAACAAACTGGGCCACAGCCTAAGCACGATGAAGACGAGCTTATGCCCCCAGCTCGTCCTGTTTCCGTGAATTCGAATGGCACTGCCAATCCCTCATTCCACCCCTACAAGCGACATGAAACGATGATGGCTATCAGTCGCACGGGAACTCCGCTAGCGTCATCGGAACAGTCGGCTTCTGTCCAGCTTGGCGCCATTGACAACAGTCTGTCCTGGCCATGGAAACACCCAGACGCCGTAAGTTTTCAAGTTCACCGTCATTACAACTTTCCAATACTAACAACTAGTAGTGGCGCAGTTTCCCCTTCGGTTGGCTTTTCTTACCAGTTTCCTTGATCGGACAACCCTTCTCGCAAAGAACCCGCGACCATTTCCTTCCATTATTGACATCCACAGCCTGGTGGAGCGGTACACAGATGGCCTTGCGTGGTGTCTTTTCGCAAGATGATGATTTCAAAGAGAGCATGTTCGCTCGACAAATCGCTGTCATGAAAGGTCAAGCCTGGAACGTGGTGGAAACACTGAAGCAACCGGATCATGGCCCGCTTGAGCTGACTCGACGGACCCGAGTCTGTGTATGGGATGACTTGGTTGACGTCCCCGTTGCTATTCCGATGCGCGCGCCTTCCACAGACAGGCAAAGGAACCAATCTATGAATTACGACCCTGATGAAGAAGAGATGGATATCGGTGCATCCGCATCTTCCCAACCAATCCCTGAACACGATTTATTGGGATTGAATTCGTCGCCAAGCGACCTCCCCAACCCAAACCGGTTCGAACTCACCCGTGGTCGAGCTGACACTAACAGCGAACGTGCTGATGGTTCTGTTGGTAGCGCTGCGACCATACATGACTTCGGCGGCCGAAACACTGGGGGTTCTCTAGATGGATGGCCTTCCCTACCCCCCCGCCAGCACAAGCATCGCAAAAACGGCGGTGCCATGCCCTTCCGCGTTCCTCATGTCCACACATTTGGCAGCGATGATCTCGAAGGCGACCTTGGCTATGCAGTTGCAGAGGGCATGGAAGGCAACCAGCGCAAGGTGATCGTTGAGCGCTTGGAAGCCGTCAAGAGCAAAAATCCTGTTTTCACCTGGTGCTAAAGTTAGATTGTGTCGTGCTACCCTTTTCACTTTTCACTTTTCTACATTCCTGCATTACTTCTTCTTTTTCATTTAATTTGCAGCTATCTTCTGTGGCGTTGTCTTCTCGGGGTATTTGGGTCCCTGTCCTTCGGGAAACGGTTCCCAATTCCTATTCACGGTTTTGACTGCCTTTTTTTTTCTGTGACATTTCACACGAGTCCTTTGCTGGACATGCTCATGATTTGGGAGATTTCCGTGTTGTATATAGACATTCTCTGGCTGTTGGGGTTGCCTTGGGCTGTGGCGCATTGATTGGGCGATCTGCCTCATGTAGCATATTGACGAGACTTAATTCCATGATACCTTTATCGTCTATTCTGTGGATCAACTATGTTGACCAGGTTAGCTAGTAGCGGCATGTGACCTTGTAGTATGTCACAAGATATAGACCCCAACTCAGGCTGGGGCATGGATATCCAGTGCTAAGCTTCCGGTGCCCCCCCCCCAGTCAGTACTATCTCATAACGTTGGGAGTAAAGTCGGGGTTCGACGTAATAGTCCCTCCTCATGTAAGACTCCGCCGACTGCTTGCATGACATTGTTTTGTGAGACATCATCTTAGCCATCGCAAACACGCCTGGGCTAGGCTCAAACAGATAAGCAATCCGTAATCGTGACAATTTACTTGTCTAGATAGCACATACCTAGGTACCTTTAGGTAAAGTATCATAGAAGGAGAAAAGAAGCCAAACAAAAGTACCCAAGCCTTGAGATCCAGCCTTGGAATAAATCTCCACGATGTATAAAATGGCCGTGGCAACTAAGCACAGTGGGGACCTCGGGACCTCATATATCCATGTCATGCGCTAAGATGCATGTACTTTTTGCTCTCTTGTATTTTCAAACTTTCTTCTTAGACTCGTCAACTTTGCAGCTTTTTTTTAGTTGATATAAGTCCATTTAAGTACTTGCATTCCATCATATGTAGTAGGTAATCTAATTACAACCGTAAGCGCGCGCGGACTGATAAGATCTTATCGGCGGGTTCCTCCGAGACACCGACTTAAGTGGAAGAACAACTTCGTCATTTCGAGTTTCTCACGACACGACTGAGTCTACGACTGACTCGAGCAAAATAGTCGCGCAAACACGAAAGACTCACGGCGAGAACACTCGAGGTCAAGGACACTCCCCTCGTCCGACATAAGAGCCGCCCACGACCCTGATCACGATTCCTTCGACGAGGCAAACGACAAGGCGCCAACTGGATTGCGACCAGGAAAACGACGTGATTTCCCCTGGAATATATACGTTGATGACCGAGACAACAGCGCAACTACTGCTGCCCGCGCTTCGCTTCTGTACCTCTCAATTTCAATGACGCCGGAGATTTCGCGACTCTCGCGTCTGGAAGACGCACCTCTAGTTGGCCAGACCGTTTGCCTAATCGCTCCGCTGCGACGTTAATATTTAAGACACGACATCCAGGCTCACAAATCTTGACCTTGATTGATCTCCCTTCACAAACAAAACCCCCGACAAGTCAGGCGGATAATCAATCCCAAATCGCAATCGCCGATCTCTCATCCCAAACCACCTGACATCGCTGCGAATACTTCTTAAATTTGAGCTTGGACGTGAATCTTGCCAGTCTGAAGGAACTCAGGCCTGTACTTCCATCCACAGCAAGTGAAACCAATAACCAGCACTGTTGCCTCTCTTATCAACTGACTTTTATCAGTTCGCTGTCACAGCACGACCCAACCTTGAATCCGACCAAAACCTATTCTGGGTCCCACGACCACCATCAAGACATCATGGCATCTCATGCTGCGATGCTCCTGAATCCCAAGGGCACCAAAAGACAAGCTCAAAACAATGGTAATCCTCCCTTTTCTTCCTCCCCAGCGAGCGATTTGCCACCCATGGATGCTGTCGCTATGTCCTGCGAGTTTCCTTTGGACAATTCTGGGCATATGTCTTGTTCTCCTGGGCTTGCATCTCCTGATTCCCCTGGTGCTTCTTCTCATGTTTCTACACTCCCTTGTGTGGACACAATGGATACCTCGGCCATGCCTCGAGACCTTCTTGGCTCACCCGAGGCTCCTGTCCATCTTAAGACCGAGATGGGTACCCATCCCATCGCTAAGGACATGATGCATCCGGCTGAATATTGTGTCCCTTCTACCCCTCAGATGGATGCTTCGGTTATGGATACAAAGTTTCTTGGCCCAGCTGAGTCTTTTTCCCCTTGTGCTCTCAGTTCGTTTGGTCCATCTTCGACTCTTTCTTCCCACAATTCATCTTTTCTTGTTACTTCTCCCCCGACAGACCCCATGCTTCTCGACTCCATGGATTCCCAAGGCTTATTTTTTCAAGGTCCAGGAAAACAGCAGGGAAATGGTTCATCTCCTGCCTCTCCCATGGCTCCCGCAGGCACTGCAGCCGCTACACGCATTCATCAACCCACTATTCGCACCTCTCCAAGTGTGGCGTCGAGAATCTCGATCCCGACTGCGAAGTCCGAACCCAACCTGACAGTGCGGTTCAGCACCACCCATGATGAAGACAACGAAAGCGACACGAAAAGAAGTCACCGCGAGATGAGTGATGACGAAGGCATCATCTACCGCCCCAATTTGATCGAAAATGTCTATGGCGTTGAAAAACGGAAGAATCAACCAACGAAGAAAATCAAAACCGAGCATGATGTGGAAGATAAATCGAACATGGCGGGAGCACCGGTCTCGATCTCTGGAGATAGCGGGCTTGGGAAGTGGATGAAAGAGGAGGATGTGAAATCAACCCCAATTTCCACTACACCCAACATGGTGGATTTGACAGCAGGTATGAGATGTTTTATTTCTCCCGTTTTCCCTGATCTTGTTTGAATTAATCTAATGTCGTTTCTAGATCCTGTGGACATACCTAAGGACGATGACGAAGTCCTATGCACCGGTTCGACAGATCTCAGCGCCCAGCGTGTCTGCTTCGGCAGAGTTTGTGACGCAAGGATCATGGCCCATACAGTCCCCAGACCAGGTCCCTCTGTTTCCACCGACTGGTCGCACGCTTGGCCGTCTATTAGATTAGACCTGCAACGCCAGCCGGTGAAGGGCAATTTTCAAATTGACGTCGCGGACCCTCACGGTAAAGTTTTCGGCAAAATTGACCCCCAAACGGCACAAGGACTGTGTCCGCTCCTGGACTCCGAAACACATATTATCGAAGTCACAGCCTTATTGGATATGCGGAGAGCCTCCTCACTAAATGAAGAACAAAATATTTGGGGTCCCACCTCAGGGGTATGGCGTGCATCCCTCAATATCTACGGCCAACGAAAGCACGCAGAGGCTGTCGGCAACTTCCTATCTCACCGCAACATCTGGCTAGGAACTCCGAATTCCGTGGACAAAGGAACTACTGTGTTCAATCCACACGCAGAGATCCGACGCCAGCTTGCCGCCGCAAGCGCTGCCGCCAACAACTCTGGGCGGTCTCGCCCAGGGTCAACCGTCCGATATGAAGCGCGAACTGCTGAAGAAGCCAATGATGCAGTCATGAAGATGTTCGACCAGCTCGCCAACGCGAACATTCCGGCGATGGAGCCGACTCGTCACATCACCACACCAATGCTTCATCACCAAAAGCAAGCCCTTTGGTTCATGACAGAGAAAGAAAAGCCACGCAAATTTGGCCGAAAAGAAGAAGACAACAACTCCTTGTGGCGAATGGAACGTGCACCCAATGGAAAGACTCAGTACCGTGAGATCATCACTGGAATGATCTCAGATCAAAAGCCCGAGGAGGCCCTAGGTGGCTTGTTGGCCGACATGATGGGCCTGGGTAAGACGCTGAGTATTCTTTCGTTAATCATGTCATCGCTTGGGTTAGCTGAAGACTGGGCCGAGATGGCTCCTGATCCTGTCCTTGTTCGCCAGACTCCGGGGATTCGCAACACAAAGACAACACTATTGGTTGTCCCGTTGAGTGCAGTGAGCAACTGGGTTACACAGATCAAGGACCATCTCAAGCCACGCTCCGTCACCTACTACATCTTTCATGGTCCATCGCGCATCACTGATTTTCAGGTACTTTCCGAGTTCGATATCATTATCACGACATACAGCACCATTCTCAGCGAGATCTCGGGGCGTGGCGCCAAAAGTGGAAAACTCAGTCCTTTGACCAAAATGAACATGTTCCGGATTGTTCTTGATGAAGCTCATATCATCAGAGAACAAAATGCGGCACAGACCAAGGCGATCCTCGGGCTCAACTCCGAGCGTCGGTGGTCGGTTACCGGAACCCCAATCCAAAACCGCATGGAGGATCTTCTGTCTGTGACCAAGTTTTTACGCATTGCTCCTTACGATCAACGAAGCCAATTTTCCCAACACGTATCTAGCCCGGTCAAAAATGGAGACCCCAATGTACTTGCCAGGTTGCGAGTTCTGGTGGATTCATTCACCTTGCGCAGAGTCAAGGACAAAATCAATCTGCCACCCAGGACAGACAATATCATCGAACTAAAATTCACCGAGAAAGAACAGCAATTGCATGACTTCTTCCGTGCCGAATCAAATGTGATGATGAGTGTCATTGCTGGTGAGGACAAACGCAAGATGGGCGGTCGGATGTATCACCATGTTTTGAAGGCCATGATGATTCTCCGCCAAGTCAGTGCACACGGAAAAGAGCTTCTTGACGTCGCAGACCGGGAGAGAGCCAAGGGATTCTCTGTTAACGACGCAATTGACTTGGAGGAGAGTGAACCAGACGAAACCCCGGCAGCCATAGACAGAAAGGGATGTGAGATGTTCGCCCTAATGCAGCAAGCCTCAGTCCCCCGGTGTGGCAATTGTAATCGAGAACTCGATGAGCCCCTGAATTCAATGGGAGCTATCGCCCATAACTCTCCGATGGCTATTGCCCTACCATGTTCCGATATTCTCTGCCCCGGTTGCTTCTCTGGCTGGAAAGAAGCATGCGTTCCGTATCCTCCCGACAACCTGGTCCGTTGCCTCAGGTGCGAAGGCTGGATTCCCTTGAAATACTCAACCATCACACCTGCTGGCTTTGAAGAATACGAGGCTCAAAAGGAAAGTGAGCGGCAAACCCGGAAGCTGGGTAAGAATTTGGGTGAATACGAAGGACCGCACACCAAAACCACTGCACTGGTCAACTACCTCAAGGAAAGTGTTGAAGACAGCAAGGGGCTTGAAGGCCAGTCACCTATCAAGAGTGTTGTGTTCTCTGGATGGACCTCACACCTGGATCTCATTGAGATCGCCTTGCAAAACAATGGGCTTGACGGGTATACCCGACTTGATGGTACCATGACCCTTGCAGCACGCACAAAGGCACTCGAGGAATTTGCCAAAGACGACAAAATCAAAGTTCTTCTGGCAACCATTGGTGCCGGTGGTGTGGCCCTGAACCTAACCTCTGCCTCACGTGTTTTTATCATGGAGCCCCAGTACAACCCAGCTGCCGTTGCTCAGGCGATCGACCGTGTTCACCGTCTTGGCCAAACTCGCCCCGTGCAAACCTTCCAATTCGTCATGAAGGGCAGCATTGAGGAGAAGATAATGGACCTCGCCAGGAAGAAGCAAGAGATGGCTGACACGAGCTTGAATCGCGTCAAGCAGGACAAGCGAGAGACACAGGAGGCTCGCATGCGCGAATACCGCAATCTTTTCAAGTAGATTCTCTCATCTTTTGTTTTCTTGTCCCAGCTGTGCATGCCTTTCGCGTTCTTCAGTTCTTCATTTACCCCTGCAGTTTCCCTTTCTGTTCCCATTTGATTTTTTTTTATTTTCTTTTTGCTTTTGATTTCTGCCCCGATCCCGGTGGCTCGCTGGTTTCGTTTCATGATACCCGGAAAAGGAGAAGGCGTTAGTATTTATTCTTACATCTTTGATTCTCCTTATGATCATATACCGGGCGTTTTCTTTCTATGTTTCCTTTTTACCGGACAGTTTTCAAGCACGTTTATACACGGGTTTGCTTGCTTTAACCATAGAAATCGTTTGTTTTTTTTTCCTGCGTGAGACATTCATATTGTTTAAACATATTCGCACGTAGATGCTGCACACTTCCAATTTTACTTCCAAAAGAGGGTATAGGAGACAGAATAATATTTTCAGTAATGTTCGCTCGCTGTGGTTTAGTTTCAAATACGTACATATTCATCGCAAATCTACAGGCACAACAGCCTTTCTTCTTCCATCAAATTCCACAAATGAATGCCCTACGTGCATCAAAGAACTTCCACGTTTATATGTCACGGTCCTCCATTATTTCTAACCAACATCTCTCTCTTCACTCTACTTCCATTTTTAATTCAAATATACTTCTATACCTAGACATGATCATAATCATTATATACGTTTGTGGATATATATACTAGGTCTTTCCATTCCGCAATACTTTCATTCCTCAAGCCAACGCTCTGTATATTTCAACGCACGTGCTTCAACATACATATCTTGATCAAGCTTGAGATACTTGCAGTTAGTTCTCCCAACCCGTGACCAAAACGTATCAAAAAGCTAACGGCAAGAAGACATGGCGAACTCGGGTTGGTCCTTTAACTTCAAGGGCTCGCAACAGTCCACCTTGTGTATCACAACCTGCACCCTCCATTCGTGGCCATCGACGAGGAAACGATGATCAGGGAGGCAGGCTTGCTTCATGTGCTTTGCTACTATTTGTTCCCAGTCGCATTCGGTGTGTTCGATGACTCCGAACCTCTCACGGGCTTAGGAGAGTGCAGCTTTCAACCTGCAAAAGCTTGGACAAGCTTGCTTAATCGAGCCACATCCACGCAGAGTCTTCTCGAAGCTCCCGCTATAATCAACAATGGACCTGACAACCTTTTCCTTACTCTTTGCGTTCTTATTCTCGGAATATCATGAATGATTACCTCCTAGCCAAGTCCACCTACCCCAAGGCCCTATTTAACTTTGTGAAGAGCCATAGACTGACCCACATACTTCCTATGCCAGTGGCTGAGTCTTCTATAGAAGCTCCTAGCCGCAAGGGTGGTGTCCAAAAGATTGTCAGATCTCTTGAAGAACGCCGGGCTACCCATGAAGTGAATACGACTCTTCCTATGTATACAGAACAGCTACTTTCTGCACGACTCTCTAGTGATCTACTTGAGGATTGCTAAAGGGAAATGGGGGCTCACTGAGTGGTTACTCACCTACCTAGGCACCTATATACCGTGCATCTCAGATAAATCAGTGCTCGGGGATATAGGAAGAGTCGTATTGACTTCATGGGTAGCACGGCGTTCTTCGTGTGATCTGACAATCTTTTTGGACACCGCGCTTGCAGCTAGGAGCTTCTCTAGAAGACTCAACCACTGGCATAGGAAGTGTATGCATCAGTCTATAGGTTTTGGCAAAGTTAAATAGGTTTGTGAGGTAGGGGGGTTGTATGAAGATGTCATTTGTTCTAGTTACTATGCCCATCACTTCAAAGCAACAGACGACCAGAAAGTCAATATCAATATCAACATACGTAGCTAGCTTGGTTAGCTAGACCCTGTACATACCGTCCTCTGGCTAGCATACAAACACACCATTCTTCTAGGTATCGGGATCAGATGGCATTAGCATTTTGCAAAACCAGACTCCATCGCGAGATTGGAAAAAAACCAGAATGGTGTCATGTGGTATTCGTGAGATTGATTCTTGTGTCTGTGCAATCGGTAAAAGACCCTCCATCACATAACGCCGAGAATATAGCAAGGAAAATGAAAACCCGCGCTAGCCCTATCTGTTTCATATAACTCCGAAATTGCAGGTAAATCGTATCGTTCTGAGAACACACAGAATCACTTTTGAGGGTACCCATCCCCATGGATACCCACAGCGACAGCGCCGAGCACATCATCCAGCCGAGCTCTCAACTTTTTCAACTCCCGGACTTTCGCAGCGCGCTCTTTCTCAACACCTCGGAGTTCTGTCTCGAGTTCCCGTATTCTGGTCTCTTGCTCAGCCTCAGAGGCGCCAATCCCGGGAAGCACAGAGATGAGGTACTCGATCTGCTGTTCCTTGATAATGAGATCGCGCGCAAGCTCCCGCTGCCGGCTCGCAAATGTGCTGGGTGAGTCCGGTGCGGGAGGAAGGTTGGGATCTTCACCTTCTAGTGCTGTCCCTGGTGCAGCTCCGGGTTGTTGAGGAGGCGCAAGCGGGGGTGATGCATTTCCTGCAACGGCGGCTGCACCCCCCACCTTGTTTGCGATGGCTGCTGGGACCGGTGGTGATGACGAGTTCTTGGTGATTTTGGCTAGGGCCGGTACTGCGTCGGGGACATTCGGGGGTGGTGTCGTGGGGGCATTGTCGTGGTATGTTGTGAGATAGCCAAGTGTTGCGTAGAATTGGGTTGCGAGCTATTTTGTCCGTATGGTGAGCAAGAGTTTGAATGTAGGTTTTGGGGGAGCGGATTTTACCTGATCCAGGCAAGTCTGGAGCTGCGTGAGAATGTCAGCCATGTTAGCGACTCGAAAAGAAAATGAAAGAAGCTTGGATTGACTTGAGAAAGAAAAGTAGAATGCCTGGTCGAGCGAAAGAAGCGGAGCAAATGCGGAGAGAAGCTCCAATGCGGTGAGATGGGCTTTTCTCCCTCACATCACTCAATGCGCCTGTTGCGACTACACCATGGCCTTGCTGCCGGATACTCTCCCTTGAGACTCGGACAAAATAGCTGTCGCTGCTTTTCCAGCTCACAGGTTCATCATGGGCTGACCCCGTTTACCCGCCGGCTCTTCAAACTCCCCTCGGCCCCATCTCCACCTTCGCAACACCACAATAACCTGACGACATTTCTCTCTTACGCGGAGCATATTTCTCTCCCAGTGACGAGTACGGTACATGTCGGCACGCACTACGAGTATACCGTCCTCAAAACCCTACGTCGTTACGCGCTAAGCCTCGACCGTATCGGCGGTCGCGATGACGCCGGCATCGACCTTGTTGGCACTTGGCACCTTCCGGGGCGAGAGCGAGAGCGTGCACTCCGTGTACTAGTACAATGCAAATCACTCAAGACCAAACTGGGCCCTAATGTCGTCCGCGAGCTAGAAGGAACCTTCCGCCAAGCACCTGTCGGATGGCGTACGGGCGAGACGGTTGGTGTGCTGGTGAGCCCCCGCGAGGCAACTAAAGGTGTTCGAGATACATTATCTCGGAGCACATATCCGTTGTTCTGGATGATGATCGAACGCGACGGATCCTTGAAGCAGGCACTTTGGAATGCCCGTGCAGAGGAACTTGGGATTGCCCCTCTAGGCGTGGAAACACGATATGGAACCACAGAAGACCCCGAGTCGGGCTCCGTTACAAAGGAAATGCTATTGACCTGGGATGGATGTGATATCCCCAATATGGACCGGGTGGAGCAAAACCTTACCGAGTTCGCCGAGCAATGGGTCGCATCCTGGGGTATGAACTTGTCGGAAATCCAGAAGGGGGAGCTATTGGATGCTGCAGAAAGAGTCCTACCACATGACATCTCTGCTCAATTGCTTGATAGGACAATATCGGACGCAGACCGGAAGAAGGTCATTCAAGCCTTACAAGAGCGGCTACAACAGCAGCCAGCATCTGAGTGAACGCTCTACTACTGAAAAATATGCTATATCCAGGCAGCCATATGGCTGGAATGTATGAATAAGAATTGTATGACTTATGACAGAAAATAATCCAAGGGTATAGAAACACCAACAACAATAGAAAGACACGGCTTCCAGCCTCCAAAAATCAAACGCCAGAGAGCACAGGCACACACAAAACCGTCCCTCGTCATGATCATCCTTGCATCGTTGACCAAAAGTAGTTTGCGTAGAAGAAGCGGGAGAATTTCGGGTCGATATTGACGACATGAACATCGCCCTTGCGACTATTACGAATGACCGCTCTGTTGAAATTGCCCGCCTCATCGGGCTCGATATCAACACCGAGAGAACGGAAGATCTTGAGGCGCAGACTAGATAGATATTAGCAAGAGTATCAATCCAAGACCGGGACACAGGCACGCACATTGTCGCATCATCGGCCTCACGCTCGCGCCGCGTTGTTTCGTCACCCTCGAGACCTTGGGACTCCAGGTCGACCAGTCTTTCCTTAAGCATCTCTAGCTCGCTCTCCAGGCGCTCGCTTTCAATTTCTAGTTCTGATGCAGCCTTGGCGATGCGAAATTTCTTGGTGTCTAACTCCACAATCTCCGCCGCGTGTTTGCCCGAGTCGTGCACGGCCACGGCTTCTTCGTGTTGTGTAGATAGGGAATTCAGGTGTCGTGAAAGTTTTCGCATGGCCGACTCGGCCTCGCGAATGCGCAGATCGCGCGATTGCTGGAGACTTGAGAGCGAGTCATTGATGCGTGTGACGGCTTGTTTATCGGGGTGGATGTTGAAGTTGCCGATCGTGTGGTGGATGAGCTGAAACCGTCAGTAAATTTCTTGAGTCTAAATTATGAGAGAAAATAGAGCAGCACATACAGTTCCAGGGTCCTCGTCGAGCAACATGGTGTCGGTGGTTACAAGATGTCGAGGTGGAAAGTCAGTTGTTTTGGGTTTGTTGCGGCAGCAACAGCCACTGCACCGCCACATATGTTGCTCCTCCGCAAAGTGACGTTGCGCTTGTGATTTCTCCGTCCTCGCTTTTACCTTCTCGTCCAACGCAACGACGACTTTTACTTTTGACAAACTGTTATTGAATTGCTGGAACTATTGTTCTGATCAATATTTCACGATCTAAAAACCACCAACTCCCTATCTCGCCATGTCCAACCTTCCATGTAGGTGGTTTGTTCCGACTGATGCCTGATGCTTGAAAACTGACTAGCTTTGCTCCTCCAGATGCCGCCGATGCGGAAAGGTTTGTTTTCCGCGAAAAAGTCAGGAAAGAAAATCTCGGAACAGTAAGAACTGACTTGACTATCACCGACACAGTCCCTTGAAACCCGCCGAGCTACAGGTCCTAAGAACGCAATACGAGAAAGAAGGAGACTACGTCGGGATCCAGACAAAGTTCAACTACGCATGGGTACGGTTTATCCAGCCTTGATCAGGTATTCCCGCGCTAACCGGTGCTCCCCGCCTATGCGGGGGTTGTATTGACTATAGGGTCTGATCAAATCCAACATCCGTTCCGAGCAGCAAGAAGGTGTTCGCCTGCTTTCAGAGATCTTCCGAGGAGCTCCAGAGCGGCGACGCGAATGCCTCTATTATTTGGCCCTCGGCAACTTCAAGCTAGGCAATTACGGCGAAGCCCGCCGATACAACGATTTGCTCCTGGAGAAGGAGCCCGCAAACCTTCAGGCTGCTAGCCTTGGGTCACTCATCGATGATAAGGTCGCCAAGGAGGGTCTGGTAGGCGTTGCGATTGTGGGTGGCTTGGCTCTCGTCGCGGGTGTGGTTGGTAGTTTGGTGATCAAGGGAGCCAGAAGACGGTAAACACCCATTTAGGATTGGCGTGGTCTGCAAGGGCCATGACAGCCGAAAGGGATTGTCTGGAGTATAATCACCTATGTATATTTTTCGTGTGGGATCTGACTCATTGGCCATTTGCGATTTTTCTTTTATTGTCGGAGCATCCGAGGGCGTTATCTTTGTCTCTACACTCTCTATCTCTATTTCTCTCTCTTTTTAAGCCACCGGTAAGTAGTGTGGTGATGTGCTACGTACCTGGCAATCGTACATAACCCAAAATTCATCTCATACGTGCATACACATAGGTTCTAGTAGCAAAACGATTTGGTCACATTCATAGATTGCTATGCAGTATATACCTCAGCATCGAAGCTCACTATGCTGCAATGTCGATAGTGTCAATTACTGATTCTCACCAACCTGAACAATCTTCCCGGTTTCAACTTCATACACATAGCCTGTGATTGGAACATCCAAGACAAGAGGACTATCCTTCAATAGTTGAATATCATCCCGAACGCTCTGCTCGAGATCCCCGAAGGGCAAAAACGCAATGTGGTCGACATTCTGGTGTAGATCCGCACGGATCTTGTCTCTGATCCCCTCGTCGGTGAAAGTGAGCATTCCACAGTTTGTCTGAAGATAATCAGCAATTGATTCAAAAGTTTTATAAGATATAAGCCAAGGTTGAGGCTTAGTCTCAATGGTCTGCAGGGGTTGTGTACATGGTGCACGATAACGATCTCGCGGGTGCCGAGCAGCTGCTGCGAAATGATGATGCTGCGCAGTGCGTCTGAGACTCTACCGCCGGCATTGCGGATTACATGCGCATCGCCTTCTTCGAGACCGAGGGCGCGGGCGGGGTCTAGAGAGTAGATAGTAGAGGTGAGTATCTTTTTTTTGTATCAGAAATACCGCACAGTATACGGACCAAGGCGCGCGTCCATGCAGGCCACCACGGCTATCTTTCTAAATCGAATAAATAAAGTCAGATGTCTTTTGCATGATACTGGAGTAGTAAGGATGGAGTTAGAACAAGCGATATCAACGCACCGCTGTGGGGGTAGCTGCAGGTCGCCCTTGGTGAAGGATGCGACGTAATTGGCATTGGCTGCTTCGAATTCCTTTGCGACAGACATGGTAGTTTTAGTATGTTTCGAATAGATTAATTTAGAGGACCTTGTGGTTGATCGTGGTATATAAGGAACATGCACACCCCGCTTCTGGTGTGATATGGCGGAAGAAAGGCAACATATTTTACCAATATTCCTCGCCAAAAATCAAGGTTTCGAGTGAAAGACAATCTTTAGTGCCGGTTCTTTTCTTTTCTTGAATTGCCGGAAAGTTATGGGTTGGCTGGAGTTAGTTATGAAGGGTTGTTTCAACTGTAGTTCATTCTTATATCAGGACAATTGCCATGTATCAAGTTGAAAAAGACTAGACCTAAAATGGACTCTACAGGCCTTCCCTGGGCAGCCCTGGAGGTGAAGATAGTATCATCGGTCTAGCTTTGACCTACTTATTACTCCTGTCCCTAATATGAGCCCGGTTATGAATGTAGTGATTATTTCCAATTATTGCTATTCAATCAGTCCTAATATAGGCAAACAGATCAAGCCTTGAACTCCTTCTTCGCAACCCGTTCACAAAGGTCGCGCAAGACAACCCCAACAGATTCGAAATCACTTGTCTCCAAGTAAGTCTGGCCACTCAGACGAGTCCATAACCAAGAGCCATGGCGGAAAGTTGGCAGGAAAGTGTTATGTTCATCCATCAACTGCTTCTGAATCCAAGAAAATGCCTTCGAAGCTTCTTCCTCAGACAACACAACCAAAGGGGTATGGTCGAAAGATTCAGTCTCCTTTCCGGCCGGAGCAACAGCAATAGGCAGCCGGACCGTAGTCAGGGCACACTGGCGCATACGGCTCTCCTGGCCAGGCTTCAGATCAGGTTCTTGCAAGACATCAGTACCGAGAGCGGCAGCAACAGCGTCTGCGCCTTCATTTGCAACACGTTGGATGTAGGCAATAATAGCATCCTCGCCTCCGCAGACTTCGGCGCGGAATTTCAGCGCGGCCGGGACGCAAAGGTACGCGGAGTCATCACTGGTGGCGACGAACTCGAAGAGTTGCTCAAAGGCAGTCTTTGTCACGGGAGCGTTGGGGTCTTCGAACACCGAGGCGATAGTCTCGGGAGAGTCCGCGGCTGGGATAAATCCCCAAGATGTTGGCATGGTGGTGCGCATTAGATGCTGGTTACGTCGGGGGATGTAGAGGATTGCACAGCTGCGGGGTGTGTAGAGCCACCTTTATGGAGCTGGGTCAATATTCGAGGATTCTTTAAGTCATTGGAAAGAGTAGGATAATGGGGATACTTCATACTTGTGACAATTTGATACGAAGAAGTCAGGCTGTAGCTTTTCCATATCGAGATGGATATTTCCAAGGCCGTGCGCAGCATCGATGACGCTCAAAATACCCTCTTCACGGCAAATTGCAGTAATCCGTTCGAAGGGGAACCGCACACCTGGATTACTGACGATGGCGTCGAAGACACTGGCCCGGACTTTGAGTCCCTCTTCACGAGTTTCGCGAATCACCTCGCGGAAACGGCGTTCTAGCTCATCTTCGGTAATGGGGAACTGGAAAGACACTTTTCGCGATTGCAAAGAGCTATGCTCCTGTAGTGAGACAACGCCCTTCTCAACAGCACCGTAGACGGGCTCAAAGTAAATGAGTGCCTCGCCCGGTTGAAAATCCAAGTTATACAGTACCGTCGCAACGCCTGTAGTCGCATTTTTAACAAACACGCACTCTTCCCGCTGAGCATTGAGGAGCTTTGCGACAGCCGCACGAGCTACGTCCAGATGCTCTGCGTGGTATCGGCGGATGTATGGATCGGGCCGCACATCGGCAAGATCCATGAACGCACGCTGTGCGTCTTTAACAGCAATCGGATGGGCACCAAACGATCCATGGTTCAGGTTCTTATACGTGGGATCGAACATCCAGTGCTTCAGCATCGGCTTGCCGAAGGAAGTTGATTGACTTGTCGCGGTCATGATGTTGGAAGAATGCAAGAAAGCTTGGAAATAGTAGTGGGATGAGTTCTTAACACCGCAACTTCAGCGAGAGGAAGACAATTTATACACAAAACCGAAGCGCAATGACTCAAGTTGGCTATACGATAACTTTGTCAATGTTTCAAACACCGAAAGGTTCTAACGCCGACCTAGGTAAAAACACAAGTGAGTCACGCCGAGCCAATGACGACCCTCTTGCGATGCTACCCGGAGATCCACATGCCGCCGAAGGGCGTAGAAGTAGACCATTGCGTATCATACAAAGTTAAGATAGGAGATAGGAATGTGCATAAGATCAGTATACTGATTTGCATTGCTTGCATTGACACGCTTGTACAGTAGTAGGTCTTGGGAGCCACGACAATGCGGCTTTTAGCCGAACATAAAATAAGCCATTTTATAGTCCATCCCTATATAATTGTGACATCCAAGGTGAAATGTCGCACTATGTTGTATTGGATTGAATATTTAAGGGCCTGAAGATGCTAAAAGGCAATGTATATGTCTATAGGTTATGTTGTTTCTGATTAACTCTGTATCCAACCATCTAACGGAACTGAGGGAGAGTAACAAGCTACTTGGAGAACGTTCACCGCGGTGGTCTCATGCAGTATTGACCGCCACTGAATCATAATTTGTAAACCGAATAGCGTGTTGAGGGAAGAATGGCCAGAATGCAACACGAACTGTAGCAGGATATTTGCAATTGAACGCGATTTTGGCTTTGTGACCCGTAAGCTACATGCATCCTGTGCTTAAAAGTTAAATGTAGAAGGGTCGTTAGGGAGATTGGAAAATGCCTAGAACAAAGTGTTAACACAAGGTGTGCATAGGCGAGCGATCTTCTGTATTTGGACTCGTCAAGAAAAGCATAATACATACCCATGAGTCAAGTTGAGCCCACCAGATCGATCCCTCGAGGCTCTCAAGGAAGCCAGCATCGTCTCCCGTATTGATCCCCAAATCGGTTGGCTGCATCATGAAATCAACCGCCTGGGCGTCGAAGAGAACCGACTTTATATCTGCATTCTGTGAAGGCTCTCCTGAGACATAGAGAGTATCATTTTCACCAGAAGACTGAGTCCGAGTTTTGACAGAGAGCCCATTGGACCCAATCTGTCGATGAACCTCCTGTCTCAACTCCTCCAGAATAATCCCGTAGCGACGGCTCGGACAGTTCTTGCGTGTAGCTTCAGCAAGATGTTGCTGACAAGATTCAGCAAGAGAAAAAAGCTGGCGCAATTTTCCTGAATCATCGGGACTTCCGACCGAAGAGATAGAGGCTGAGCTAGATCCGCCCGATGACTTACGGTGCTGTTGGATGGTATGGATGTAAACGACCAAAACAGCACAGAAGCACACGTAGTGTGTGAACCAAAAGGACTGAATCAGCACGCCCTGATGCGCTAGACCATCGGTTATTGTCATGATGTCCTCGGCAGCCTGGATGCATTTCTGGACGTGTGAGCTGACCATCGGGTGCGGGACTTTCGGTCTACGGCTGAGGTCTGTGAAATCGTTCAAGAGGAATGAGCGGGTGACGTGGATCATCGCATGTGAGTAGGCAAGTTGGAGAACTTGGCTTTGGCGGCAGAGGGGTGGGATTAAACTGGTTGGGTGAACACTGTTGAATAAGGGTGGGACTGTTTCTTTCCATTTTTCGAGTTCTGAGGTTAGGCGGATTGCGGTCTCGATGGGGGAGTCTCGAGAGACGGTGTTTATGCTGTATAGTTGACGGGAAATGTCGCCCAGGATACGACCGAGTCTGGGTTCAGTGTTAGGTGCCCAGGTACATATACAATATGAGATAAGTACAGGGTAGGTATGAGGGACTCACCGGTAATGAAGAACAGAGGCAATCATCATGCTGTCCGTGGATCCTGTTCTCCGCATCGGATCTTCTTCGAGTAAGTCTTCGTCGTTCGTCTCGTCCGGTAGTTCTTGGTCGATGTCCTCGTCGTGGAGCAGACGAGGTCTTCCGAACATAATGCTTAGATATTTATCTAGAGTATATACACTCCAGAAGATGCGCTTGCGGAGCTCCAATTCTAGATATGAGCACCCATTATTCGAGACTTTGGCTGACCGTTTCCTGTGTAATCCGAGTGCTGTCACAATCTGCATTGTTGTGCCGAATGAGTACCAGCATTCGTTGGCCCGTGACGATGACAGCAGATATAGGCATTGGCCCAGCCGAGCCTGGATGGTTTCCAGTCGTGGCGGCCCTGACTCGAGAGAAGACATGTATTTCGACGCTGCATACCAGCGCTCACTATAATCTTTCAGTTAGACCCCTCTTCTGACCATATCAATAGATTGCTAACCTTTCTAGCCTTTCACTCCGCCTACCAGGCATTCCCCCGGGCCTCATTTCCACGTACAAAGTACTCACAGCAATGATCATCAGAACGATAGCAGTCCGAGCAACCATATTTCCCACGGGGAGATTCGAGAGGCCGATGTTATTTTGGTAAACCTGTCTAGTCCACTCTTCCACATTGCCCCTATGTACAAACCGATAAGTCACCATGGAGTAATCGAAGTAAATTCCCACCAGCTCCAGCGCCTTTTCCAGAGATGGGAGGGTAAATTCCGCCTCTTGGGAGTTGGAGTAAGGCTTATCACCAAACATAAAGACAGCTGTATTCCGCGAGGACTCGTTTTGAAGTTCATCCGGATAATGCGTCGTTTCATCTTGATGTAGACGACTCCATACACGATTGATAAACGACACACCGGATGAAGGACCGAGGTAATTACCCTCAAAATCCGTTGATCCTGGCTCTGGTGAGTTCCGCGATGACACCACATGCTGGGTTTGGGTTTTGTTTTGGTTTGGAAGTAGATTGTCGGTCACAGTCGAGTCCCGACCATTGCCCTGTAGATTGGGGCTGGACGTACGCCAATCCACATCCCCAAATGTACGACGCCCAGTGGGAGTTGAAAGTGGACTCGGTGATGCAGGAAGAGGGTCTGGTGGTAGCCCCCGAGAGTACGCGGCCTTGTATCTGCATGGCAGTGACAGTCGCGTACATCTTGTGCATGGTAAAGTACCAGTACACCTGGTTTTCTTTACTTTGCACGAGTCACAGGCTCTGGTTATTTTCTGGCGGTTTGCAACGCCATCTTTTAATGTGTCGGATGCTTTCCTCTTCTTAGACGGCAATTCTGTTGAAGTTTCATTTATTTTGATCGCGGGCCGAGGAGATTCATGCATGGCAACGCTAGTGGTTGTCATATCGAGATCGGCAAGACAGGCCGAGCCAGGGAATTAATTCCCGAATATCGAAAGGAGATGACTTCGAAATACCTAGAGGTAGTTTAGAGAGGAGAAGTATCCGGGGAAGAGGGGGAAATTGGGAAAAGCACAGGATCTCGGCAAGTCTCCGGTCGGCGCGGGGATGCCTCCACCTCCCCGGATTCTTACTATGTACCTAGGTATCTATATAGAAGGTATTGAAAGTACAGATATGGGTTAATCTACACAAGTTACGGTGACTAAGGAAGATCAAGAAAGAAACATAATCCCCCTGTTATCAGGCTTTCACCGAATAATGGGCTGTTCACTGAAGGCGATGATCGTATAGACATCATCCAACGAAATCGCTCACTTGCTCTTTGTAGCTACAAGATAAAAAATCAACTTTTACATGAACCCTCGGTAAGCAATTTTACCGAAGGTTCGATAGCCATATTAGTTGATTGACACTGGCATGGGATTGATAGGAGTCGGCAGAAGAAGAAAATGCTCAACAATATGATAGTGTGATCAGTTGCCCTTGTAACCCCGAATGTAATTTGGGGAATCCAATATCATTTTGGAATGCAATTGGCTGACACTGACAGATAGAAGCCTCGATCTGCACGAGAGGACAACTGGTTCGCATCATAGACTGAAGAAGCATATAGTATGGTTTCAGTGAACCGAGATGAAGTTGAGATGAAGTTGAGTCATATCTCTGTTGAAAGAAAAAATGTGGGAAAGGCCCTAGGCTAGGAAGGATATTCATTGCAGGCTGGTTGCTGGGAGAATATCTGCCAGGAGGTAATGCGAAAGTCAATATAAAAGAAAAATCCCACTTGCTCCGTATCCACCAACACCCCGGCGTTTAACTGGGTATCTCTGGGTATATTCACTTCTGTTAAGGCATATCGGGACTCTCCACAATTTTGCAAACTTTTAAAGCCTCCTCTTCTGGGATGGCAAAGAATATTTGCAACGAAAAAAGGAAATCGCTAGGGCTCGGATAAGAGAATAGGAACAGTCTGGTTTCTTTGCGAGATCTCAATATGTCTCGAGATATGGCAATAAACTTAAAGATGGAGCTGGTCACACAGCTAGAAGGAGTAATGTGACGGTTCTCTGAATGACCTGCTCCATCTCAAACGCGACACGAATAACAGCTATAAAGGGAAACGCTATGAAACAACCAGGTTCGTTTGGTCGTTCGAGGATTTGGGATCGAGAAGATTTGGGATCGAGAAGATTTGGCGAGGATTCGGAGGAGACGGGGGTAACTCTGGCACATATTCGTCCAGAGATGTGTATAATGCCCGATAAGAAATTAGGCTAATTCAGCGATGAGGGCCGTAATAATTGCCCATGTTACTGTTGGGAGTAATGTTCAGGTTCAGGTCTGAGTCGCGCACGCCTGAATTGCGGGAGTCAAATTGACTATCATCTTCCAAGAGACGAGTGAGGGTTTCTCGAATCTGTCCAGGGGTTGCTCCCGATCGTATGGTATTGACGATTAATTGCACCGTTGGGCGGTCACTATCTCGGATGAGTCCGAGGAGATCATCCACGAATGACCGGAAATGGTCCAATTGGTCCTGGATTCTCTTGGCGGAGGCCTTACGGCGTCTGTCGGCGGCTTCATCGAAGACACATTCGCGGGCGTGGGTTGAGCATTCGGTGCAATGAGGAGGGCCGGTACACTAACAAGACCGAAAAAAGGAGCATGTCAGATTGATTTGGAGTACAGGTTAGGTGAAAACAAGGGGAGAGATAGGAAAAATAGGAAGTGTAGTGAATGTGTACCCTGGTCCGGCGCTTTTGACACTCTGTACAAGCCGTCGATGCTCGCCTCATGCGTTTCTCTTCTGGTGCACTCCCGCCAGAAGGACTCCCTGCCCCCTCTCCCGCATCTCCTCCGCCGAGTAGCCTGGTACGAGGCGCAAGAGGCCTATAGCCCCGGGGTGTCTGTTCACTCATCAAGTCGCGCAAAGAAACAAGGTGATAAATAGCAAATCAGAAGCCCAACTGTCTTCCCAGCCACCATTTCAAAGCATGATAATCAAGCAAATCACATGGACGGACAGATCATAGAGAGAGAGTTATAGAATGGAGAAAGAGAGGAGGGGCCCTGGGGCCGCGCTAGACCTATGCAGTGAATTCTGCACTGTGCGCTGCTTAGATTAGAAGGGCATGGGGGCAAAGTGGGGGAAAGGGGAGATAATAAGAAAGCGGAAAAAAATAGGAAATAATAGGAAAAATAGTAAAATAGGAAAATAGGAAAATAACAGGTAAATAACAGGTAAAGAAATGGGGGAAATTGGAAAAAACAGGGAAAAAAACAGGGAAAAGGGTGGCGGGTGTGGGCCTCTAAGCTGGCATGTCCGCTAGGAAAATAAGCAAAGTAAATAGAGCTGTCGGAGAGCTTCCAGGAACCAAATAATCGTTGATCTAAGATGTCCAATATCAAAATATCAGAATATCAGAATATGAATTATACCAAAAATCAGTGCAATTCTCTTCTCTTGCTAATGGTAAAAGGGTAAAATAGCAACAATTACTTGAAATTCATATGTATGAAGTAGTACAGAGTAGAAATAATTTAATCCCTATATATCTATATATCTATATATCTATATATTATATATACAATGGTCATTTTTTCCTGACAATATTTTTCACGTTTTATACATGTTCCTTCATATGCCTATATGGGTCTAATCCTATCCATAACCCTAATTTATCGACCCCGGAGTTAGTTTCCGGGGTAAATGATAGGCTCAACCCAACATTGAAGATTTCCATGAAATCATGACCCTACTTCACTCAGATGTGAGCCTTGGGAGCCTCTCTGATAACACTTATATTGAACATTGTCCTAAGATCCGCTCGGTTCCTAGACTCGTCTTTTCCCGGGTTCCTCTTTCTGTATGGAAAAAAAAAAAAACCGGTCTATGCCCTTCAGTCGATCCTTGACATTCTCGGTTCACTTTGTCGATCCGGAGATCGAGAGTCCGAAGCGATTTGTTTTGTTTTTTTTTTGTTTTTGTTTTTTCTCTATCTTCTTGCGCAAGGCTCCGGGAAATGACTCCAGTTTCGTCTACGCGTCGATATATCCATACTCAGATTTCTTCCCTCTGTTGAAATATTACCATTCTAGAAATTCCACCTAACATTGGCCTACGTAGGTTGTGCAGTCCTCCCTAGACGATGTGCAAACTCCACCAACGTTTGTCAAACCCCACTGTGGCTGTTTTTTGCCACACAAGTGAACCAAAGATATGCAAGTGGCTAAAGCGATCACTTTTACAGGTACTCGTGTAAACCATAATTTCTGACCTGTTCTTTCTGGAATTTACTCGCCTGGATTAAGTAACGGGAAGCGAACATCTCTCTGATCCTTAGTACAAAGTAGCTCAATATTGGAAAGTTCATCCGTTTCCAAGTGTCGACTAACACCCTATCGGACTGACGAAAGGAATAACACTATATAAATATATAAATATGGGGTACTTACAACGGGGCACTGGGCTCTGGGAGCCTCTTAGGGCTTGCTCTACCAAGGTTTGTTAGGGCAGTCAGCAGATTCTTGAAAAGTGTCCCTTGATTCCCCCATTTGGATGGCCGAACTCTGTTCCGTGTATGGATTATATGCACACACAATCTCACCTGACGATTGTGTGCATTGAATATCCTTCGAAGTGCTGACTGCAGAGTACATATATCCCATGGATGCGATTTCAACTGACACCCACCTGTGGATATAGCAATAAGACAAAGTGGGACGAGGCAAGCCTAAAATGGGCCAAGATAAACCTTGGAAGCCAAACTATTCCGTACAGCCTTCTGGTATAGATTTGACAGGTGGGCCACAATCCAGCACTCTGCTCGGTGCCGGCGAAGAGTTCCATGGTCCATCTTGAGAAGGGGCAATTTCAAGGCCCTCATCTTGTTCCTGACTTGATGCAGACTTCACCGTATCGATTTCGCTATGCACGACATGGTCTATCACTTTAACATGTATTTTCTTTTTTTTATTAAAAAAGAACCAAGATAAAGAGAAACAAAAACCCGTCACCGCAGAATTGTACATGGCTGTTACCTTGACGTCCAATAATTGCCCGGGAGAATACTTCCGTACCATACATGATTTGTTCAAATGTTTCTCATTGCCGAGCAAAAAAACTTGAAAGCAAGAAGGTATTCGCAACTCGTGCTTTTCTTAGCAAATTCAACCATGGCTCAGATGTCTGCAGAGACGCGAAGAACCGTTGCTCCTCCTGGTCATCCAATCTCGTCTATGTATTAGATTCGGGGGCTTATTCAATATAAGCGAGTCGACGTACGGAGTATGCTATATTGTAGATGCATGTCCTCAATCCCTGCAATCTTACCCCATATCAGTATAAACCACACATTCTCCATTCCCAATTTACAAATATCTCCACTATCCCAACCCCCGTGCTTCTACCACGCACAGTTCTTGTGCCCATTCACCGATCTTCGGCACCACAGCGCTACGTGGCCCCTAACCAGTAGGTACAGGTCCAAACCATTCAAGGATGTGTAATCCTACCTACTACATAGGGCTACCTAGGGCCATGCAAGGAAGAAAGCTTCTCGAGTTGCCCTAGATCAAGCACTCCATACTAGATTGTTACGTGTTGCCCTAATCTATTTATCCCGGCTCTAAGGATAGCGGGGCCGGAGACGAAATCGCAATTTCGTGAAAAAAGGGAGGGAAAAAAAGAAAATCCAAACCCATAACGGAGTGCTGGATACGGACGTAGTCCGGATACTGGATGTATCCACTCCATTGCCCCCAGCGCTCCTTGATAGGATTACTCCCTTGGATGGCCCTCAAGAAGCGGTCAAAGTTGGGATTCGCTACAAGTGTCCTCTTATTTAGGGCTATCTTCCCTTCCCGATCTAGGTACTTTCGCGCCAAGCACAACTCATGTACACGACGCATACAAAAGCAGCACCCGTCTCGTCAGGAAACCTTTTCCCCGAGCAAATATGGGAGCTGGTTGGTTGGCTGGCTGGGAAGGAATTGCTTTTTACCACAGGATCTGATATTATGCATGCATCACTAGCTCCGCTCTTCCTGATTGGTGTTTGCTGTAATATCTACTTGCCTTGGCGATGTTCGAACTGAGTATCGCGCGCCTGCAGATAAATCCTTCGAACCACTGTGATGGTAGCCACTAATTTGCGAAGCGGCGAAGATATCAGCCTCTCTGTTCTTCTCTAGATGGCCTATTCCAAATACTGGTACCTTTGATATACGCGACTCGCGCGGCTTACAGTGGCTTCGAACATCACTTCTCACATTCCCCCGTTTCATTGGATACTCATACTAAACAAACCCGTCTTGCTGACACTACTTTCTACCAATACAAACACTTCCCATAGACCTAGACACAAAGACTGAAAGCAAAGAACATCCTCAATACGAACCCCACACAATCTAGTATCACCCCTACTCAATCTGCAACTAAAGAGTTGATGCGAGCAAAACACACGCGCACTACCGATCAGATTGAAATCGACAAGATTATTGGTTGATCGGTTCGATGCGTTGGGCATCAAGAATGAAGACGGTCAAGAGCGAGAGTAAGAGCGAGAGCGAGAGCGATATATCCTTTTTACCGAGATGCAGATTGACTTCGAACATGCAGACGGGCTATATAACATAGAGTAACCTGCTAAATGGTATGAAAGCCAAATGCAAAGTAATTCATTATTCTTATCTGCATGAGTACTATACTCATTAGTAGCAATGAATATGTAAAGTCCCCTGGATTATGTGTATTCACCCACAGAAGAACCCCTCTGGTTCTATGGGGGTGATAGTAGTCCTATAGACATCATTACCTGGCGGGGTGTGTTGCATACCTAGGTACATGCGTTACTCTACAATCCATGCATGCAACCTTGGAATGGACCTTGGGAGGGTTCGGCTTGGCGCTAGACACTGGCAAAATTCTTGGGAATGATTGCAGCTGGACTACATTGTTTTAGACGATACTGGTTTATACATCGTGCGCAAAGTGCTAGTACGGAGATTGTGTCTGTCTGAGAAAAATGAAGATTTTGATTGGAATGGGTAATGGAATTTGTATGGACGGACAGGAATATGTTCTGAAGAAGTAGGCAAAGGAAACAGGGAATAAAGTGTGTAAAAAGAAAAAAAACCCGGGAAAAAAGAGCCATATCTCATACATCGGAAAAGAAAAACGGGTGGGATATCAAAAAGAATACAGTCACGGTCGAGCAGCGTGTAGAAATACCAACGTATCCTCCAGAGAGCAGGACGAGAATCAGTAGATCGGACGGCCCTCATCCCAGCGGCGAGACTCTCTCGGACTAGAAATAGGCTCGGGTTGACTTTCGCCCGCAGGGGTGTGAGGGCTTGCCAAAATGTTCCCTGATGGAGAAGGGATAGAGAAGCGTGCACTTTCACGGCGGCCAGTATGTTCCGGCTCGCCGACAGCGTTGATCCCACCGATCCACTCCCAGACTCGAGAAACATCACCGCTACGTCCTTCTCGCACCGAAGCACGGACGTTAGCGTTGCCCTCGACAAAGTTGCGGACCCGTCGCCAGAGCTCCTCGCGACGCTTGCCTTGGAGTTCAAAGCGGAGGACGTCATCGCGGAGCTGACCAATGGCAATATGAGGTTCTTTGGCATCGCCGCGGGCGTATAGTGCAGCCTGTGTGGATAGTCGGTCAAGGGTTGTAGCTACCAATTCAGGCACGCGAGCAATGTCAGACCGACGTGCAAGCACACGCGCACGAGCGTACACAAGGAGACCAATGGTCAAGATTAGAAGTGAAATAGGGAGTCGATACGCGAGGAGAGCGAGTCGGAAGTGGCGGCGGACGGCGCATGCGAGTGGGAGCCGTGCAATGGAGGTAGAGGAGAGGACGAGGATGTCGGAATTTCTGTGATTGCGAACGCGCCTCTGTCAGTTCCGGTACACAATGTCAGACCAGATCTTCATAAGAAATGCCGCTGGATGTGGAAATCCAGAGCGATGAGTGTAGCCAAGGAGACACGAGAATCCCTCCTAGGGTGGAAACTTACTGCTTGGTCTTGCTGATAACTTCATCTTTGCCAAGGATCTCGCCAATGGCGCCCTTCCACAGCTCATCAAATTCGGTGTCACTCAAGCCCTTGCGGCGCTTCTTGGCCACCTCTTCCCTCAACTCTGGCTCGCTGATGTCTGGAGATCTGGCGCCCTTGCCGTCTTCCTTCAGCTGACCGCATTCCCACTTTGCCCGGCGCTCACGAAGCTCCTCAACAGCTTTATCAGCAACAGCCTTCACGCGGCGTTCCTTTTCACTATCGGGTTCACATGTTGGCGGCAACGGCACTAGGCCACCGAGGGCAAGAGGATGCGGCTTCAAAAGGAAATCATTTTCGCAGCGCACTTCGAAGTCCGGGTAGCAGAAGGCGTGGCTTGGGCACGGCTCGCACCGAGGCTCCAGAACATTCGCCCACTCAGGAACCTTGGTCTCTGCCAAAGACCAGGTGGGCTTTCCCAGGCCGCAATATCCAATCTCGAGCTTTTCTTTGCGCCACCAGATACCAAAACTGCCGGCAAGTGAAAGGATGACCACCCAAGGGGCCAAGCGGCTGAGAGTTCCTTGCTTTTGGGGCCGTCGCCTAGCCTGAACTTGTGGCGAGTACTGATCATTCTCCATAGACATAGCGAGCTGTTCCTCAGGCGTGAATTCTTCACCGGCCTTAATTTCGCTTTCATCATCATCCTCCGATTCTTCCGACTCCTCCTCGGGCTCCTCCTGTGGAGGCATCAACCGGGAGGCGAAATCAAACGAATCCCGCCTGGGTGGCTGGAAACCATCATTTTGCTGAAGGCTGGACGGCGTTGCTGATTTCCGCGACCTGAGTCCGCGGCCCCGGGCTGGGCTGTCGGTAGATAAACGCGAAACGCTCTTGCGCTTCCCGTCATAGCTCATCCTTGCGCTTTTAGGAGCCTCAGGGCTTCCACTCTGGAAAGGATTGTCATCCGTAAACATGCTCTCGTTGCGTGATTCTGACTTGACACCAGGAGTGTGTTCATCCACTTCTGTGGAGGGGAGGACCTCGCTCCGTCCGACTTTTCTAGCTGTAGATTTGCGAGGCGTAGGACGGGTAGCAGCGACGGGAGTGGCGAGTGTGTCGTCGCCGGTTTCCGTGTCAGACGTGCGAGCGTGTTTACCCACCGAGCGAGCAACGCTCGTGCGCTTTGTGTTTCTGACAGGTGTGGCAGGACCGAGACCATCATCGGTCTCTACCGTTGAGTGACGGGTGCTGCGTCGCGATGTACCTCGCTGGCCTCTGCTTGTGGATCCGACTGTTGAGGGTGTGGGTGGAGGAGGCATCGACTCTCTGTCGTTCGCGTCGCTAGCCACTGATGTCGACCGACTGCTCATATCAGTAATCCCCGCACTGGTTCGTCGAACCGTGTCGCGGTCGCGCAAGAGCTTTCTGGCTTGCGGAAGGACTTCATCTTCAAGGATGCCAATCAGCTGAGCCTTCTTTGCCGAGGCAGGGTACGGAATATCGTGGCTGACGAGGATGGAGCGGAGACGAGGAACGGTGAGAGAGTTCAGATCGAAATCTGGATGGAGGTATTCCAGGTCATCCGCCATTTTGTGTGGCGTGTAATGTGCAACGTTGCGGCAAGATTAATGTGCGAACACCCCGACCGAAATGGCGTAGTTTAGGGGGGTTTTGTTAATATGGACACCGAACTTGCAGCACGGTGCGTGGCTAGACGAGATTTCAATATGCGAGTGAAATGCCACCGATCGCTCCCTTTTTCGAATTTTAACTGGGGTAGGAGAAGTGTTGTTTTTTTCTGTCGAGCTGTTAATTACGCCAGACCCGGTTCGATAATTTGTTCAGTTCGTAGCCAGGGCAACAGGTGGAGCAGGAAAAAACGGCCGACGTTGGGACTATCGACTCGAACGATGTGAATGTAGGTAATAAAACTCAAGGAACAGATGTCTCTCCCTTTTTTTTGGCTTGGATTCGGTTTACTAGATGAAGGGGTGAGCAGACCAAGGAAAAAGAAAACAAGGTCGATGACGTAGGCATAAACATTGGCGCGTGACATTGACGCCTCAGGCCAATAACTGTGATAAACTAGACATTTGATATCAAACACAACTACATACATCCATGGATGTACTCAAGTATAAAGTCGGATTCAAAATAGCAAAGGGTCTAGATGGCAGGTGTCTGTCTTATACCGGTGGACCTTCCTATCGGAAATTCATTTTTTTTGTGGTGCTAGTTATACTTTTATGATCTTGGTCAAGTCCATACATAATCTATTGCGAATATACCCACCCCATGAACCCCTGCGGCAGGTGTTCACGAGTGGAAATGTTCAGACGTAATCCCTGGTGATACATAGGAATGTCCTTCGTATACATCTTAAAAAGAACATCCAAAAGAACATCCAAAAACATGTCCGTGTTCTTACATATAACGTCCCTAATATCATCTTGGCCCAAATATATCAGAGTATTAAGGTAAAGATCGTCAAGGACATAGGACTACCCAAGTATTCTTGTCAAGAATCAAACAAAATGGTAAGAAAAAAGCCCATGAAAGTATCATATAGACTGTAATATATATTCACTGTCCGAGCCAATTACAGCCCTAAAACTCAAAGCAGGTCAAAGCCAATAATAAAAGAAGATACCGAAACAATCACCTTGGCTCCATGCCATAATGCTTTATATAAAAACAATTTCCAGAACCCCCTCCCGCCAGTGGGACGCCGCCCACCAAAACAAACCCAGAAAGATACAAGAAGGGAGAAAAAAAAGGTCAAAAACGCAAGTAATAGGAAACCAAAAGTAAGATTGAAATTAGTGCGATAAAGCAGGCGGCAGGAATCAGCGGTAGATGCGGCCGGAATCAAAAGAGCGATCGATTGGCATCGCCGGGGAGGTGGAGGAAAGATGACGAGGCGGAGGTAATACCGCTGTCGATACTGCCTGAAGGAGCCGCCTTGCCATAAGTTGGTGGACCGCCGATGTTGCCCGCAGTACCAACGGCCATCTGCTCCTTGAGAGCTTGGAATTCGGCAAGTTGTGTTTGTAGTTGCTGTAGTACCTCGGTGATAGGTACGGCGTGGTCACTGAGGGTGTCGCCCGGTTTGAAGGGACGCATCATGTGGCGTAGGGAGAGTGTGTTGATGCATACCTGGAATTTGTTAGGATTGGAAGTAGAAAGAAAGGGGAGTTTGTGTAATACTAACCTCGATGCGGGTGACCTGTTGATCGACCAAACTGAGAACGGTTGAGTCGTTGAGCTCACCACCATGCCTCTTGACCATGTTGAAGAGAGCGACGTTCGGCTCTCTGAGGCTCGGTTCACTTGGATGCTCCATGGCACCGCAGAGTCGTTCAAGACGGAGTGTTACTTCCCAGAGACGCCAAATGACGTTTGTTTGGATGTCGAGTTGGTTATCTGGGCTGATGGTTGCAGCGGAGCTGTCAAGATCCTGTGATTCCTCCGTAGAGATCATACGACCAGAAAGCGAGGAGGGGTAAACAAGGTAGAGGGGTTCCGGATTTTCCAGACCCTTCAGCTTTCTTTCGCCTTGATCTTTGATAACGAAACCTTGACTATTCAGCTGCTGCAGCTCGCGACGAATGTTGTGGCCGAGGCTATCGCCGCGGGGATGGCTGTCGGTCGAGCTGGTGGAGGCCGAACGCTCAGCATCCGCGAAAATCTCGAGGCTGCGGTGGATGTCGGTCATGAAATCTGACGAAACGAAAATCTGTCCTCCATCTGCGACGGCAGAAATTCGCGACGCACGATTCACCATTGGACCGAAATAGTCCATTCGACTGGTGACCGGATCTTTTGCGCAGACAGGCTCGCCCCAATGGCCACCCATGCGGACAGACAGGCCACGGAAGATAACATTGTTGTCCATGTCAACCACAACTCGGCACTGGGGCTGATCGAGAATCTCTGTAGGCCACTCAGCTTCAAGGAGCTGGTTTTGACAGTTGAAACACCACAGCAAGGCAGCCGTCGTGGTTGAGAAAGCCACCATGAAAGCATCACCTTCTGTCTTGACTTCGTAGCCACCGAAGATTGCCAGTTGCCGGCGCAGGATGTCATTGTGGATTTGAATAGCAGATCGCATCGCATCCGGACAAATCTCCCACAGACCCGTGGATTTCTTGATATCAGTGAACATGATAGTCAATTCACCCTCGGGAGCATTCACGTGTTCAAAGCGCGCGAGTCGCGAATCTCCAGGACCATCGCGCTTCTTGGGACGCTTGGCAGTTGGGATGATCTGCTCTTCAGCAAACGTGGACGAGGGAGTGTTGAGAGAAGGACGAGGCTTTGGGCGTCTCCTTTGAATCTCCCCAACGCCGAGAATCATCACCATCAGCTTATTGGTGGCGCCGAAGGAGATGGCCAAATCACGTAACTTTTGAGCTGCAAACATCAAGTCTGGTTGTTCTCTCCTAGTAATGTCAACCACCACTTCGGGAGTAACATAGTCCCAGAGTTCCTTTGATGCCAACACGATCATCTCATCTTGTTCCGTCAAGGTGGTATGCAGTGTGGAAGGGGCCGCAATGACAGCAGGCATCATAGGGAAGTGTCCAAAGCACCTCGACACGGTGAGGACATCATTCAGCTTCCCGGTGCGAGACACGAAACCTCCTGCTGCACGAATCCGTGCGCGCTCGTTAGGTTCCGCGGGATCATGATTTTGCGTCAAAGAAAGCATTGAACCATCTGATCGGATCAAAATAGCCTGAGCATCACCGACATTGGCGGCGTACAAGTCCATGTTGTTCAGATACAGGACAGTAGCAATGCCCCCTGACTGAATGTCGTCCTGATTGAGCAACTTGGCCGCAGTCGATCCTCGATGGTACTGCCGGATCTCACGGTCATCAATGGACCTGTAGGCAGAGCCTGCCATATTCTTATTCAATGCCAAGAACGACCGTCGGAGTGCGTCCAATGGTGTTTCACCCTGATCTCGCTGAAGCTTCTTAAGCTCAAACGAGAAAGTAGAAGTGAAATTCTCGTGCAAGTACTTTGCAACGCGAGAACCACCACTGGAAAGTATCTGTCCGTCAAACATTCCCACAAGTGTTTCCACATTATCCTGCTTCAACCGCGGAACAATCATATCAATGATAGATAGATGCTCGGTTTTACCAAGAGAGTCGGCCATACCGTAGGCGAGAGTACCAGCCAAGGAGGCAGATGTTCTCACACGGCGATCTTCAGTCTCCTCTGGGATGGTGGGAATGGTGAGTGTGACATCCATCAGTCCCAAAACACGGAGATGGGTCAGGGAGTTGAAGTCAGTCAGGTCAGCGCCATTGGCGGCCGGAGGGCCCAGCGACGCGATATTTGGCTTGATTTCCAAACGCTTGTTGCCCGAGAAATTCAGATACTTGAGATTACGGTTCCAGTTCCAGTTCCAATCATAAGGCCAGTTTGACACGTTGTACTTGAGCCCGTTGCTCCCCACATCCAAAATAGAAAGCTTGCTGACCTTGCAAAGCTCTGCAGGCAAGACCTGGAACCGGTTGGCGTTGATGTGAAGAACTTTGAGGTTGCTTCCCTCTTCCAGGTCATCGGATGGGAGGGAGGTCAACTCATTACCGGACAGGTACAGCTCGGAAATCAATGGCCACCTTTTGAGGATTCCTTGTGGTAGTTCAGTCAGATCATTGTAGGAAAGATTGACAATACGCAGCTCCGGGAGCAACGATAGTTCCCGGAAAACATCGTCTTCAAGCCTGTTGTCCGCAAGTGAAAGTGTTCGAAGGGATGCCGCAAACGTCATTGCCATCTGCTGAGAGAAGTTTGAGTCCTTCCGAGTCACCGAGTTCGGGTCGGTATATGATGGCGACGCCGCCGACACCTTCCTACCAGATTGAGCATTTGAAGGATTCCGGTACCCGTTCGGTGATATAACACCATTCGACGTTTGACTAGGTCGACGTAGACTTAGTTCATCCAGTGGGCCTATATCTTCATAGCTGGAGTTTTCAGAAATGCCTGGTGTAGTCCCAGGTGTGTTTGTAGGTTCACCGGGAATTTGAGGGTACGGAGCACCACATTTTGGAAAGCTCGACAGAATGTTTGAGGAGATGTTAAGTATTTCCAGCTTAGCACAATGCCAAATTTCGGCTGGTAGGGAATTCAGATTGCACTCCCTCAGATTAAGATGCTTGAGCTCCCCAAGGCAACCCAGAGTTGGAGGCAAAGATGATAGGGGGTTTTTGATCATGCTGAAGTGTTCCAGTCGACGCAACTTGCCAATCTGAGGCGAAACCGAGGAAATATGATTCTTGTCAAGGACAAGCTTCGTTATATTCGGGCAATTCTCGAAAATGGTATCCCTGAATTGGGAGAGCTTGCCGGAGGCAAGGTTTAGAGAGGTCAATGTTGGCATAGGAGCGTCAACATCAAATTGCGTCATAGGGCAGTGGTCCAGATGTAAACTCCGCAACCTCGGGAAGGAGCCTTTGAAACGCGATAGAAGATTGTGACCAAAGAATATCTGTTCCAGCCGTGGAAGACTAGAGAGAGCATCGATATTGGTGATGGCATTGAAGCGTCCATCAAACTCCTTGAGGTTCACTAATTCCCCGAAGGAATCATCGAGAGGCCCGCTCAAGTTGTTGTTTGTCATCCAAAGGCGTTCGAGAGTGGCCAAGCGGCCAATATTGGGAAGTTCTTCTATGCCATTGAAGCTGATGTCGAGATCAACTAGACTCTTGAGGTTGCAAAGGAAATCTGGGAAGACCTTGAAACTATTTGACGACATGTTCAGGTTTCGCAGGTTTTGGAAATTGCCGAAAGAGCTGGGCAGCTTTGTTAACTGATTGTTCGCCATCTTGATGCTAACAAGACCAGTCAGTCGATCGAGACCCGCATGATCCAAGTCCTCAAGGCAGTTGTTTGACACATCCAGATATGTCAATCGGCTGGCCAAACCAAAGCTTTGTGGGAGGAACGCGGCCTCATTCCCGATGAACTTGATCTCTCGCAGATTAATGCAGCTTTGAATAAAGTCTTTGGGAACGTCTAATGACAAGTTCCTCGACAAGTTCAGTGAGATGATCTCGGAGGATTTTGCATAAAGCGTAATTGGAATAGTGACAAGACTGCGGCCTTGGAGATCCACATGGCTGAACTTTTGCACTTTGTTGAAACCCGGTTCACTCTCGAGACTGCTGTAACCACTGAGCTTTGTCGGCAAGAATATGAAGCGACAGAGATAACTGTGATCCTCGCGGCCAATATCTCCGATGCGGTCCTTTTCCGTATAGCCAACTTGTTGCAGCAGCCGCTTTTGCATTTGAATAGGTCGCTCATTGTGGTCAAGTTGCCGCGAAATATCATTTTTTCGTAGAACAATTTCATAATTGTTGAGATGATCTTGCAAGAAAGACTTCCGACCAAGCATCAGCAGGATCTCGGACACGGTAGCATTCAGACCAGCCGATAGCGTGGCAAAAGTAGAATCGATTCGGAAGATCCGAATAAAGTACGAAGCTTCACGATCACGAGGGCCGACAGCGGTGGGTTCTTCCAAGGTAGGATCTTCTAAGGTAGGGTCAACGGGCCCCCTGACCTGCCAACTTTCAGGCGCATTCCACGGCTTTTCGAGTTTGGAATCGTCGCCGGGTGTGATTGTCCCATCCAGTCCACGCTTCATTTGCCCAGGCGAAGGTGGACGGACAATCCCGTTCAGGTCTTTCATATCGACATCAAGGTGGAAGACATGCTTGTTCTCCTCTTGATTTTTGTCGTCCTTGTTAGGGTTATAAAGGTCACCACCTTGATGGGTGAACACACGACGATTACCAAGCTTTCTTCCCACCATCAGGCCCTTCCCAGAATCTTTCTTTCGGTCCGAATCTACTGACTCCGGGTAGCGAGAGGAAGTACTCCCTTCGAGGCTTCCTTGCCTATCGCGTCGCGGAGGGGAAGAATTCCTCGATTTGTCATGAGACTTCCCGAGGATCTTTTTGATGAATCCGCCGAGTCTAGGATGCTGTGGGTTCTGATCAGGGTCTCGATATGCGCTACGCACACTGGGCGTTGGACTTGTCGACCGGCCCCCAAATACAGTGGAGTCGCTCATGTCATTCGCTGAATGCAGGTAGTTCTCATTAAACGGCCGCAATCCAATGTCGTCCCTGCCAGTAGCAGGTCGGGTTTGGGACCATGCCAGATCGCCAGCAAGAGTCGGGTTTTCTTCTTTGCTTCGTGAGGAACGATGTCTGCCAGGTCCCCGTCGGCTTGGCTCCTTCTGCCCTGAGGCAACATTTTCCGAGGATGGAAGACGCTGTCCATCGGGGCCGATTGGTACATGGCGCACTGGTGCCTCCCCATACTGCGGAATGTCATTAAAGCTCTGATAATCCCATGGAGTGATGTCACTGGATGGCAAAGGGTTATTTGCCCGTGGCCTCTGTGGACGTTGCGAGGAGTTGGAGCCCTCGGGTGTATTGCGTGAGCCATCTGAGTTCGCTCTCTCTCGCGCCTTCAACTGGTCGACTGGTCCCCCACGCCTGCTCGGCGGGTTCTGGGAGCCATCGTCATCGGTTTGAAGCTCCCCAGGCGAATGATAGTCATCTCCAAGTAGACCTTTCAAATGCTTCTTTCGGAACTTTTGGCTAATACTAGATCTAGATCCCTGGCTACTGACTGTAGTTGCGCTTGCAGCAGATGGCCGGCGATGTTCCCCATGGTATTCATACTCAGCGGGTTCGCTTGCGATTGTTCGTCCGGTCGTGGGACGAAATGTGAATGACGCAGGCGAGGCTTCATGTTCAGAGTAATCGTGATAAAAAGTACCACTAGCATCTGGCTGACCACTGCTGGGGATGGTGGACCACGGGGCAATCGACTCGATCTCATCGGAGTCGGCGTAAGATGGGCGAAGGGGTGGAGGTCGGGGACTCGAGACGGATGATTGGGAGGGGCTCTCTCGATTGCTCGGGACCATCAAAGCCTCGTGGTGATTGCTAAAGCCAGAAGCTTTGCGTTGTTCGGTGGGAGAAATGTCGGGGGAGTTCCATGACCACATGGAATTTCCCCAATCAATCCGGGGGGGTTTTGAGGAGTCCGGCCTGGCAAAAAAAAAATTCTTAGCACCTCTTCTTTTTGAGCTTGGATTCGACGCGCCATGATCGCGTAGAGCTTCAGCAGGTCATTTGGAGAAACAGAAGCTTACTTGGAGTCCATTTTTAAGGAACTGGGAAACGGGTCGGCATTGTGAGCTCCCGTAAAGGCTTCGTCTTGATCTCGAGACTGACTCTCAGAGTTTCGCACGGTATCCTGCGACTTCCAGCTATTTCCAGAGCTCTCCGAACCCTGGCGGTTATCGGTTAGGTTGCGGTCCCGCGCCGGCATGGCTGCGCTCAGACTCGGCCAAATTCCACCACGACAACCCTGTTCAAGTTGCAGCCAGCTGTATCTTGGGGTATGGTGATATTTCAGAGCCGCCCAGCATTAAAAGAATCGATGATTATCGGATGGTGTGGGCGACCGGGGGAGCTGCGACGTGTGGCTGTCAATTCTGCTGTCTCGGGTGCTGGCGCCACGTTGTGGAGGCCGACCTGGCGACGCGGTAGAGAGTCTAATAGCTGGAAGAAACTCTGTAGGACATCCAATTTGAATTCGAGATGAGGCAAATAAATGGGTTGCCACCAAGAGCGCGAAGGAGTTGGGAGGGCTAGCGGGGGCGTGAGGATAGGGAAGGCGTATGAAATGATGAGGCCGAGGGCGTAAGACTAGCGTCGGGCGTGAGTACTCAAAATGGGGCGTTATTTCATGAGGTTTTAGGAAGTGATTGCGGTTAAGGATAACCCGGGCGCATACTGGCAAGGCGTACGGGGTGATTATTGAGGTCCAGAGGGTTAATTGGGGGGGAAGAGGGAGAGTGGGGATGGTGACTCGTGACAAAGGCGGATCAACGTAATGACGATCGAGAACAAAGCCAACAAGATCCTTATAAATTTTTTAAAAAGGACCGAAGCTCATGAGATTCATATAATAAGAAAGAGATGGAAGAGGAAGAAGAAACCCGTGTGAGCTTCGGGTACTAGGCCGGAGTCATGAGGCTCTTACTAAGTAAGGTACACTTTGCCTGAAAATACGGGGACATCATCACCCTGGAACTTGTAGATTACTTGCAGGCTACATAGGTATTTGGAACTAATCTTTGTATTATTTTTCACTTCTTTATTTCTTCATTTCTTCATCTCTTTTTGAAGTTTTGTTTTATAGATATAACCATTTTCATTGGGCATGGTCCGTGATGCTGTCCGTGCTCGACAGGGAGACTGTGGAGCTCCCCAGTCTTTGTTCTGCTTCACTTTTGCTGTCTGTTCTATTTTTTGCTATTTCTCGTACAGGGCGTATACAATTCAGCTACTCCGTATGCGTGCGGCATTCTTGCATTGCATAGCCCTCTACGGAGTATAGTCGAGTCATTGGACCATCATCCCGCCCGGGTGAAATCACCCTCAGAGGTATCGAGGCTGTAACAAAGAATCCCTGTAGCACTCCCAGGGTTGTACTCGTAAATTTTTATTTTTTTTGGCTTCACTCGAAGGTGGCAGCTCGAATTGCCAAGGACAGTTACTACCGTTGCACAGCTCATTTTCCCTTTGTTGCAACCCATCTGGCCTGTGATATATATCTGTCCAAGCTGTTAGGTACGGAGTACTTTGAATGGCATGTTGCGATATAAAAGCCATAGATTCTGATGTTTTGGCACACGGAACTCCAGTACTTATACATAATAGCTCTGCCCAGAGAACATTCCTGAGATACAGGTAGGCTAGATCAAAACTACTTCGGGTAGCCTCCATCGCACAGCGATTGGAGATTGAAGCACACCTTCTTCTTCTCGAAAATATCTAGATATTGGCATCATTAATTCGGCACAAACTTATCGATTCAAAGATTTTGGATGAATTTGCTATGACTGTCTTTGCCCACAATGACAGTAGCATGAACAAAAACACGACCTCCCTCTTCTCGAGTTCCGCTCTTAAGCAGCTAGTCGGTCTGTTAGAGATAACCCCGGGGAGACATTATGTATGATAATCTCCTCAGGGTACACTCTGAGCCAGTTCCTGGACGAAAGCATTGATCCGCATCTTGCTGTTCTAGCAACGGCGGAATGGTCAGAAAAGTCTGCTTGGTGTCGAAGTTGCCATGACGTTAATGATACTAGCTTCGCACAATATATGAGCGTGTGCTCGATATGACTGTAGGAGTGCAAGAATGTGATCTAACTGGGAGATCCTCTCTTCCTAACAGTTTCCTTCGGAGTATGAATCAGATTGAACAGAACCAAGAAGTAGGTCTAGCAATCCACTGGAGACCGCTACTTCAGAGACCCTGCAGGCCTAGACGAAAGCATGAACTTGCGCTGCAAGAATTTCTCTGTATTCAAAGTCGAAACGGTTGACCCCGGTGTTGCAAACTAAGATGCCAAGCTCGCGAATCACTCTGAACTTTATGTGTGAACACCACACCTGATTTATAACAATTGAGATCTAGCTAAACACACTCGGTATTTGCACGAGTTTCGTCGGTGGAATTGGCGTTGACCTCAGTGTCGGTTTGAAGAGCAGTGAGGGCGCCTTGCCCATAGCCTCGTCGCCGACGGTGATAATCAGACGAGCCGTCTCATACCATAAGTCTTTCTCACCGCCGGTAATGGTCACAGTCTTTCCGGCAAGACTAGCGCCGTCAGGAACGAAGGGAACCACGTTATCCATGGTAAAAAGATCGGATGAGAATGTTGAAACCCAACCAGCAGCGTTGTGTATAGCTGAAAGGATGGTGGAATAAGTGGAATAAAAAGGGAGTGAACAAAGCTAGAATGGGTTGCGTGGGAAAAATTTAACGAACTCATCAAGCGACACTCACCGCAAGAAGTTTGCGTACAGGAAAATAGCCCTATACTCTAGTACATAAGTCGCAACCAACATCTCGTATGCCCCGTAACCTTTCGATGTACTACATATAGCAGTCTTTTGCCTTTTGAAAATCTTCCCTCAATTTCCAACTTGTAAATAAGCGTCCGTTATACACCAACATCCCAATCTAGTATCGTCTCGTGGAAGACGAGAGCGCGAGCAGTGCCGTCGAGATCGTTTCCTACATATGTAGTCATACAGGGGCCTAAATGCGATACCCAAACAAAACTTGCACTGCGGCGGTTCTTCATGGCCAAAGAAACAAGTTACAAATATCGAGACATGATAGGACCCACAGTTATCGGACTATTTTTTTCTCCCGCTGTCGTGGTTCAGTTCGTCGCCCGGCAGATCGCCCTTACATCGATCGCCTACAACATACATAGATCGGCGGCTTTATGTCGACCAAGGTCTAGGCCAGCCTCATATGCTATTATTGCATGTAAACAGAGTGCCCATTAAGTGAAAATTGCAGATATTTTTAAAGGCTAGCCAAGGTTGGTGCTTAAAGTCATATCATCCGTAAGGCCGCTAGAGCCAATGGGAAGATGGCTGCCCAATGGTAGACAGCCCTGGCCCAAACATTGGAATCACGACTATTGATTAGTACTAATACCTACTTGTTTCGGATGACAGACAAGGACTCCGTGCGGAGTACGGTGTATGAATTACTATGATGCAGAGGAAATCTTCAATATGAGATCACATCTCTAATAATAAGTGGTGTATGGGTAAATGCGAGAGGCTGGGGGTGGGTCCTAATATACGTGTGTCCCCCTGCCACCTATTAATTTTCCTTGGGCCTTGCCGCTTTTTCTTGGTTTTTCAGGTAGACTGGTTTCATCGAATGAATATCTACTCCGTATGTACGGATGCGGAGTACTCCATACGTATTCTCGATCGAAGATGCCTAATTCAATGTGTTCTGTGTCACATACTCAGAATAGCCAATGTACATGCAGATGCACACTCAGAGGATGTACATTAGCATCTGGACTGCACACCCGTCAAGTGTACGGGGGACTACATGGAATGACTCCATGTACGGAGTAGACTCCATGGAACAACGTGGCGTAGCTCTCTCTAGCTGGTCCACCTGGTGGGCACAATCTCGATCCGGGACAGAATCCAAGGATGTGATTGGTTCAATGACAGCCGGGGACCCACGGATCGACCAAAAAAAGAAGGCACGGAAACGGAGGAGGCTGGCACCTTCCCAAAATTGTTTAAGACCGTTTGTGTACTTTTAGTTTTGAAATCTCCTTTCCCGATCTTCTTTCCTCATCTGTTACCCTTTCGTATCAACTTTCATCTTCATTATTGCATAATAGTTGCGAGATTACTTATAGCTTACTCTACTTGGCCCACCATGCGATTCTTTCTTGGTGCAGCGCTGGGCCTGCTGTCTTCCACGCTAGTCGTGGCCCAGACTTATACCGATTGCAATCCGACACAGAAATGTGAGGCTCATAATCACCGTTGTGTCAACAGGTTACTAACAGCCAGTAGCATGCCCCGCGGATCCTGCATTTGGCCAATCTGACAAGACGTTCGATTTCACAAGTGGCGCATCTGACGCTTTCAAATCGACTGGATCCGTCACATATGACCAAACGAATGGTGCAACCTTCACTATTGCTAAGCAGGGTGATGGCCCTCTGATTCAGTCCGGCTGGTACATCATGTTCGGCCGTGTGGAATGCACTATCAAGGCAGCACCGGGGACCGGAATCGTGAGCAGTGCAGTTCTGCAGTCCGACGATTTGGACGAGATTGACTGGGAGTGGCTGGGTGGAAACAACGCCCAAGTGCAAACCAATTACTTCGGCAAAGGAGACACAAGTTCATTCAGCCGTGGCGCCTACCACGAAAATTCCGGAAACCATGACGACTTCCACACTTTCTCCATCGACTGGACCAGCAGCCAGATTGTGTGGGCGATTGATGGCAAGACTGTTCGTGTTCTCACACCCGAGACGGCAGACACCAACCAGTACCCACAGAGCCCGATGATGATCAAGGTCGGTGTGTGGGCTGGCGGTGATTCGAACAATGCCAAGGGCACTATCGGTGAGTGGGACTATCTTACATATTACTTTTATCGTGCTTGCTAACAGCTTGTGTTTGTGCAGACTGGGCTGGTGGTCAAACAGACTATAGCCAAGGCCCCTTCAAGATGTATATGAAGTCAATGACCGTGACTGACTACTCCACCGGAACTTCGTACAGTTATGGTGACAGAAGTGGCTCATGGCAGTCAATTGTCGCGGAAGGAGGCAAAATCAATGGCAACAAAGGCGCCGAGCCCACGTCGACCGAGTCCGCACCTGCAATTACTTCAACCATTGACAGCGTCCCAGTTCCCTGGAGTGGAACCCACAAAGAAACCTCAAGCTGGGTCACCCCAAATGTCTGGCCCTGGGTGGCGACCGACCCTCCTTCGGCCTCGTCGACGGGATATCAGTATGACTGGGAGTCTAGCTCCGGCCACAACAAGCCACCAGGTGGAGGCTCAATGAGTGAGCAATCCCCCGAATCCCTTTTTGATTAGATTCGTCCGTTAATATCGAATCTTTTCCCCCACAGTCTACCTTCCGCTTTATATCAGCAGTATTGCCTTTTTCTTCGGTTGCCTTTTCCCGCTCTGGCGTTGAGATTTCGTGACGAACCTCGACTCGAGGATGAGCAGAATCATATGTTCGATCAAACCTATTACTGCCATTACTTCTACCAACACGCTCACTCGAGATGATACAGCGGCAGCTTTCGGTCCTCATATTGCTCCACCGGTGGGCAGTGCGAATAGCCCGTTCCTGCAATGGCAGGTGTCTTGTGTGCTCTCTTTGGGCGTGTTACTGCATTGGCTTGAACGCATCCGCGTTTGTATTATTATTGATGACTTCATCGGACCCGGCGTTGGTTTATATTTTTACTGGACATGACACTTGAGCGATGACTTTAACGGCTCATGCAGCCGCAGCATTTGGGCGCTTAGAGGCAGCTTCTATTCTTGTTTACACTCTACTTTTATCATTCATAGATGTCAAAACGGGAATACCCCATTGATGGGACACGCGTGCCCTACATACATAACGAGTCTTCATGTATTCATAGCCTATTGGACTACCCATAGTCTTCCCGTTAATCAAAGCCCTATTTTATAATTAATTTTTCACCTCCGTAAATTCTCGTAGCTAGTACAAATTCTAACATATGTACAATCACTGGGGTGAAAATAGAGACAGATTCAAGTTACTTCTATAGCAAGATCTTGCGGTCAGAATAGGCTTTGTCTGAGGTTCCCATACCAAAATAGCAATAACTCTCTGTTGACAGGATGGTGACGATGAGGGATTAAAGCAGAAAAGTAAAATACGAACACCGATTTAAATCATGAGATAGACAACTGTAATCATTTCAAACAAACTTCAAGACATAAACCAGGGCATCAAGAAGATTAAGTAAAGAAAAAGAGACTACTATAAGAGTAGGGGGATAAGATACCACTTACACCCATATGTATGTACCGATCAGAACAGGAACCGGAGACAACTGTGATCCATGGCTCTTTTACGGAGCCATCTGTGAGATGGTCTGATGAGACACTTCACTCCGAAGATCAACTTCTTGCTCTCAAAACTCCATCATTCTCCAAGTCTTCCTTTTTCAACAACCGTTCCAACACCATCACTTCCTAACATGAGCGACGAAACTGTTATCCTCACTACCCACCGAGCTCTGGCTCTTCCAGAAATCGTGGGTGGAATCCTCCTTTGGATTTACAAGGACCCTACAATAATCCGGTACCGCACACGTTGGTTACTGAATTACACCTTGGTAAATAAGACGTGGTACCATGAAACGATGCGTATTCTGTGGAGCGACGTGGAAGCAGATGGGAAACCCCTCGACGAGGTCATGATCAAAATCTCCCCCGACCGCCGCCAGATGTATGCCAACCTTGTGAAGACTGCAACTGTGGAAACCTACAGCCAGAAGACTGAGCCAGTGGTACAGCCAGTTCTGGAAAATGTGGTCTTCCCGCAGTTACACACTTTGCGCCTTGTTCTGGTCTTTCACAACATGGACACCGAGGAGTGTATCCGCACCCCAAATTTGAACATGCCAAATATCCAGACCCTTCATGTCGACGGTTCGATTGGGCCCACTTATCTACACCCTGGCCAATGGGACTATCTCACTGATCGGATTACGGTTTGTTTCACTGGCTATCGCCTGCTGCACCACATGGCTAAGCACTCCTTGTGCATATCTAGAAGCTCTTTCCGAGGTTGTTGAATGTTCGAATTGAGATACCAGCTATCCTTTATATTGCGGGGTTTGAGACTCTATCTGAGAACCTGCCAAATTTGGAATCTATCGAGTTTGAGGAAATCTTGTTCCTGTCGGATGTGGAAGATAGTCTGGAAGATACATATAGTGAGGCTTTGGAGAACGATAATTTGGAGGACGAGAATACGAAAGATGGAGATACGGACGACGGGGATACGGACGACGGGGATACGGACGACGAGGATACGGACGACGGGGATACGGACGACGAGGATACGGACGACGGGGATACGGACGACGAGGATACAAGTAGCGAGTATGAATACAGCGAGAATGCGGATGAGGAGCTGGTGCAGCTTCTCACCTCTACGTTCACTTGATAATTGTTGTATCGTACTTGCGTGAAATTTGGCAGTACTTTTGCTCGAACTCAGCTTGCATTTTAGAGCCCACTTCAACCTCGTTTGATTCCTGAACGGTCTAACATGAATGGAGAGGTCAAGTGTATGATGGATGCAATGGATACAGAAGTGCAGAGTTACAGTGTTTTGGGAGAACCTAGATGATATGTCAACCATCTGTAACTTTCTTTTTTGCCATTTCTTTAAACTTTTGGATTGAGGTGCGTCAGGCACTATCATGGCCACACCCACCAATTCTTTCCCTGAAACATATCGTTCATGTGATTTAAGACCTAGACTGCATTGCAATTGATGATCATGACAAGAATAGCCCGCCGCATAAGCGGCCTTGTAACGTCTTTTTGGTTAGTCTTTTTCTTATAGATATTTTGTCTCCCTTCTCGGTTTTATAGATAGATGGCGGGAAAAGTCCCAATTTGTGAATTCGACCTTCCTAATATGTATAACCTTTGACAAGATACATGATTTGTGAACTTTGACTGCCCATGTCTATCTCCAGCTATGCCAACCATCTTCCAGTTTGCTGAATAATGATAATATGCTGATCTCGCCTGCGGCGAATAGGGCAACATCTAAAAAGGAAATCTACCTAATAGAAATGGATCTTATCACGGATGCGCCGCTTTGTTTCGAGCTTAATTCGACGTCGTAATATTCTGATACTCTCACATCCAAATAATTGGCCACAGCCTAATTCTTAGCCCATGTATTATTATACTATCTTCCTATTATTACGTAACTAAACATCTACTATGTAGTATGAATTAAGGAGAGGAGAGTGGGTCCATTGTAAATGATAAAGTCGGGCGACCAATAGGAACCTTCCAAGGCTGTAACTATCCATGGATGGATCGCCACGTCTTATGTCATCCACCAGCCGCACCTGGGCACTGCCCATCCACTTGATTTTTCGATTATTCAACTTCCCGATTCCTCGGCTAATCATCTAATCATCGTATCGCCTCCGCATTTGTCATGTTTCTTACAGATCTCCAGGGGCTGCACAATTTCGATATACAACATAGGCTGAGACAGGATCTTCTCACACTAATTCCGGACAATGGGCGAAGAAACAGCTAAACCGAGTGGTCGCAAACGCGGTCGTCCTCGAACTGTGACCGACGATCAAGAAGTGCCAGAGGTGGGTCAGATCCCAACGCTCCAAGTGCCTACATATGCTTATAATCATTGATTTATAGAGACGTCGCAAACAACTCCGGCTCGCGCAGCAGGCATATCGCAAAAGAAAGGAGACCACGATCGGTAACCTGCAGAATCGCGTACACGAATTAGAAACCGGCATCGAGAATATCAGCCACTCTTTCCTCTCCTTCAGTAGTCTTCTTATAGAAGAGCAACTCCTCTCACAATATCCGCATATCGCATCGGCTCTTCAAAACATAACTCAGCAATGCGTGTCGCTTGCGAAGGCTGGGAGTGATGACCCGACTGAGGGAGCCCTCCCCGTCGTTCGAGCCGCAAAAGAGTCTCAAATCACAAATAATAATACAGCCCCGACATCAGTTCTGGATGGCGCATACTCAGAAGCTTCAACAGATGCCGAGGATGTAATAAGATCGGCTCCTATGAGCTGGCCCGGTCCTCCTACCCCACCATATCAAGGTCAATCCATCCTGCCATTCGACCTCGTCATGTCATCATCTACTGTTCAATTTCCTCTTATCACTCCGCCATTATCGAACTCGCCATTATCGAACTCCTCAACACTAGATCTACTCTCCAGTAATATAACGCCTGACAGGCAGTGGAATGTCGCACAACGTCTAGTCCGGACTTGCTGTCAGGGCGGATATCGCCTTCTCATCAACAATCCAAACAGCTCCACAGTCCCTCATATCTTTGGGTCTATTCCAAGTCTGTCAGAACGCAATCGTCTGATCTCAGGCTTTTACGATGTCATACAGGACAAGACGGGTGTCTTGACAGATCACAAGTCTAATGTGCTCCACGCCCTGCAGTCCAACATGAACATATTCTCGAATGAACAACTCCAGCTCCCGTCTAAGATATGGCAGATTGCGCTCGAATCAGCTTCTGGTGAGTGGATGGATGCCAGCGGAGTGCAAGGATACCTGCTTGACAAGAGAGCGATCTTTGAGAGTTTTCCTGATTCCTCTGGCCGTGTTGGTTATTCAGTCTCGTCATCACTTGATATAACGGCCTTCATCAAATGTGAGTTCTTGGGAATGGAACGTCTTGAATAAATCCACTAACACCACTGTAGCTGTCTCAAAAGAAGCCATATGCGTTGGGAATGGACCGGTATTCCGACGGCAAAGCGTTGAAAAGGCTCTTCGTCTGGCAACGATTAGTGTGCCATGGGATTTCGAAAATCTTTGTGAATTATAACGCATATTTCTACCTGTAAATATATAATGCATACACGAACAGAGGGCATGTGGCCGGCAATTCAAATAATTGACCGTTGCCCATTTGGTTGTACTGGTAGTGACTGCCCCAAGTTTCCAAAACAACGTCCCACTCGTCCACACTCGATTTCCACATTGAGTATGCGAGTCCTCTAGTTCAAGCCACAAGGCAATCGAATGATAGTGTCCATAACTCCCGCACAAGCCGCGCAATATGCAATCATTTTCATAGCCAATTGTTGGTGTTCCTTCCAACTTGGGACGCGCAAGCTAAATTCTTCGCCGCGAATTGCATAATGAATTCCGAATATTTACACCGTTGTGAGCTCATTGACATTTTGAATTATTACAGGGGGCATGTGCTATGGTGACATCTGATCGGATCTTACCATAGTGGAGTAGTGGTCACTAGCACTAGATGTTAGATGCACGAGTCAATCGCCAAGCCGATGGAGTATGGCCAAATTACTGGTTATCGAGGTTACCCCAACTCTTGGATTCGCTATATTAATATTCCTCTTATACTGAGCGGTATTCTTTGCTGGGCCCCGTACAACATCACCTATGCTTGGCCGGCTCTCATGGTTGGATACGGTATGTATCGACTACCATGTGAAGCGCAACTACGAACGGTGGTGGCAGAAGTATGCCTACGTTTTTAGCTCCTCGTTATCCTGTGGGATTGGTATTGCCGGTCTGGTAATCTTCTTTGCTGTCCAGTTCCATGCTGTTGATATTAACTGGTGGGGCCAATACCGTGTCGTATAATGGTTGCGATAATGATGGCTGCCCCTTGCTGCCGATTCCTGAAATTGGGCATTTCTGAGATTGGTAGTAAGATCTAATGGAAAGACATCTATATCATTGAATTTACTCTTTTAATTTCACAACAATAGTCGGCCGCTTATGTGGCCTCTGTCCTTGACGACCTAAGACTTTAATAATCTGATATATTTGGACGAAGGTGGTATTAGCGGTGTTATGTGTGATATCCCTCCGATATGTTTTTTGGATGTTCTTTTTAGATGTCCTTTTAGATGTTCTTTTTAGATGTCCTTTTAGATGTCCTTTTAGATGTCTTCTTAGGTGCATACAAAGGCGGTAACAAGCATATCTTACGACTTTTCCATGTATATATAACCAGGGATGATACCAGTCAGTCATCGAACCTCGCAGACACCTCAATCACATCCTTGAGGTGATCATACGTGAGAACCTCTTTTTTCCACTTTGCATACTGACGAGCAGAGGTGACGGCATTTCGAATTTGCCGACCATTCAACTTCTCCCTCTGAAGCACATCCAAGCTCCCCATAAGATTTTCAACATCAACGGCATCTTCATCAAACCCATCCAGTCGCTTGATAAAAGTTTTCCAAATGATTCGTCTCTGCTTCTCACCGAGGGGGGATAGTGGAGTGCCAGCTGGATACGCGACTTGAACGCCTCATCGAAGGTACCTACCTGGTTAGTGGTCAAGATCAGGATTCCCTCGAAATATTCCACCACGCGCAGGAAAGCCGATACGAGCGCGTTCCGGTTCAGATCTTCCAGGCTGCGCTGCTCGAGGAAAACATCCGCTTCGTCGAGCAGGACTACGCAGTTCCAGATCTTGCCCAGGTGTAGCACAGACTCGAGGTACTTCTCTACCTCCTCGGGCTTGATGCCGACGTCGCCGCATGTGACTCGATAGAGAGGCCTCTCGGCTATTTCAGCCACACTCTCTGCGGTCAGTGTTTTTCCTGTTCCCGGCCCACCATGCAGAAGCAAGATAAGTCCATTGCCTTTACCGGCGATCAAATCGGCGGAGTACTCGGGCTCGACGTGGTTGGTCACCAGTGCTTCGATAAGGTCTCTGGATTTAGAGTCGATGGCTAAACTCTCGAAGGCGTCTTTGTTCCACTCGACATGTGAGATGCGGTCGACTGAGAGCTCGAACCATTTCTTGCGTCGGAGGTTGAAGCCAGTCACCCTCGGAGGCATCAACAGGCTGAATGGCTCTGGTGGGGGTTGCTCTCTGGTCATGGCTCGGTAATCGAGTGTCTTTCTGCGTGAGCCGTTGTTCAAATACCCGGTCGGGACTGGATGTAGTCTGTTGTATGTCTTCATGTCTATGATGTATCGGTCGTCGGCCTAGTAGCAATGGTTAGTTCTGCTCATCATTGCAGGCTGACAATAAATACATACCATGGTCTGGAAATTCTCTTCTTTGGTTGCCTGATAGGACACGTACTTCTGCGTGCGGAATGTCCAGAAAATCTCCCCGCGGCGCTGAAGCTTCCGGACGAGATGATCAGGAGCGTACTTGATTGGGTATACCGCAAGGTCCGTGATAGCACACTCTTTGTCTGAGTCACTATGGGATAGAGGAAGGCTAGAATCATGCGGCAAATAATCCACATTAAGCGACGGCGGCACCTCCACGGCATGCTGTGATGGAATCACAAAGCTGAGCCTAGTCCGAGATTTATAAAAGTCGCCATCGAAGTCCCAGGTCTGGACACTGATCCACCAACAAGGATTGCCGTCCTGGATGTCTATGCTTCGGATTGGCCAGTCCCTGACTACATAACCTGTATGCTCTTTTTTTTGGTTCCAAACTAGGACTTCGTTGGGCTTGAACAGATATTGAACGTACTCCGGGCGAATTTTGCCTTTCTCGAAAAGCAGGTCTGCTGCAGTGTATTCATTGCCACAAGCCTCTTGGACATAGTCCATGAAGAGGTCAAATTGTCTTTGTGCCTCTGAGCTCAGCCCTCGTTTGATTTCCGATTCTCCAACGCCCCGGTTATGGTAGACGAAGAGATAAGGCGACTGGACCTCTCCCGTGTGCCGGTAGTCACTGTACATGGATCGAAACTCTTCGCCCCTGAGGAAATCTGCGATCACGTCTTTCAGATCTTCAGAAACTGGAAAAATGCTCTCACTGAATGGCTCTGGCTTGCCATACTTTGTGTTCGGTGACTGAGGCTCGGTCCTTCTTTTGTAGTTCCGGAAAACTACAAAAGATATGTCTCTGTTGAGAGCGAGGTACAGCTCGAAGTTAGTCAGCGGATCATTGCAGCGCAGATATGGCGCACCCATGTTTCGATGGATGAGCTCAGGGGGGTCGGTATAAATCCCCATCCATGGAGAGCTGGGCCTAGATCCGCGTGGCCTGTGCCTGGGGCTGAATTCATCGTCGCTATCGTTCATGCTGTGGTTGTCACTCGGATAGGTGCCGTCTTTCTCAATCCGATAAAGGATCTGATACTTTGAGGCTATGGGCAGGACGGGCTTTCCTTCCAGCTCCCGGACCTTGTCTCGCAGAGCTGCGATTTGGGCCTTGAGGTCATTGGCCTCTGATAGAGAGACACTTCCTTGGCTGGGAGGAGTGTACGTGTCCGAGCGAACGGTGTTTGAGTACTGCGGATTCATATTGTATAAGTCCACAGACTGTGGACTTGGAATCTGTTGCCTTGTAGGAGCGTAAGGAGCATTGGTAGGATACACCGGGACTGGGGGATATTGATATGGAACAGGACCCGGCGGGAAAGGGCCTGGCATGTTTTGATTGTTGACCAGCGCCGGCCCGAAAGAAGGGACAGGGTTATTAGGCTCGACTGGCCTTTGGTATGCGCTGCCCTGGGATGCAGCCATCCTATTTCGTCGGGCGACGTTCTGCTGTTCTAACAGCATGAGTTTGAATGAGTAATCCTGGTTGTTTTGATGTTCTTGCTTCGTTCTGGGATTCGAAATGTAAGGCGTACCATCAAGAGGAGGATGAGTTGCCCCTCCGAGCGAAGTAGGAACTGGTTGCTCTTGTGGGGCGTCTTTGCCGCTGAGATTCTCAGAGATGGTGTTGGTCATGTACAGCTCGTCACGAGGGCGAGCTGGGTTTGAATGAGGATACATGCCCTTTCAACAAAGATGATTTTCAAGATAAATCAAATGGACCGTTCTACTATCCAGAGGGAGGGGGGAACAGACAATAAATAGGCAGAAACGGGGAATACAAGATTCTGATCCCAACCACCCCCGCGTCTTGAGCCTCTAGAGTGTCATGTGGTGTGGCTGTGTGCATTTTCATGTTAGGCTGGTATATCTACATGCATAGGTACCTATTTTGTCAATGTTGGTGTGTTCCAGATCTCCATGTCCATTGGGTTCATTGGGTCCTATAGGAAGCCGGGTGGTGCTTACCCTCTTACGTAGTTGCCAGCCCTAACAACATGGGTACTTCACCACAAACACCTGAGCTTCATGCTTCATGCTTCATGTTTCATGCATCTAATCCAATATATTGTTAAGGTTCACGCATGTTTCATTCAACATTCATTGTCTCTGGGAGGCAAAGATGACAGCCTCCAGTAAGAAAGATACAACTCGACGAAGTCTTTTCAATCTCTGGATCCCAACTAAAATCATTGTCTCTGGAAAGCCAGACACATCTCCAACTGACTCTGGGGCAACAGAAAGCCCGGCATCAGAGCCAATTATCCCAAGGGTGGGAAAAGATCGGTTCAGGGCTCGTTTGACTCGCAGTGGCTCCAAGATCCTACTGTTGCTGGGCTTGCGTGGTTCATCCAAGAGTGAGTGGTGGTCCACCGATGTCTTTCTTTTATATCAGACCATTCACTGATACTCTGTCGCAGGCAACAAAGGGTTTAGCGCCGACACCGATTGCTGTGGTTCCGTACACGCCGGCGACGAAAGCCCAGATCCCTTGAACTCATCCTCCCCAAGTGGTAATGGCGATGATAGCCCAGGATATCTTACTGCAGCCGAGTCCCCTCAAAGTGAACCAATACCTGTCACTCCTTCGCTCAGCACCCCTACCGAAGGGGTTGAAACTTTGTCTGAGCCACTTCCCGACCTACGACGGTCACCCGAGAGTCAGGGTGAACTGGCTTTTGTCGATGACGTGCAGCAACATGCCACAGGTGAGGACCCTCTGCCTACTACTGCCACTGAGCAATCGAGTCCAACAAATTCAAAATTTGTCGATCGCTTCTCGCATAAGATTTCGCTTGCGTTTGGCCAGCCCACTGTCATCCGCCGTGCGCATCTTCGGTCAAGACCGAGTATTCTTCCCGTCAGTTCTCCAGTGTTAGAGGAACTGAGCAAACAGAGTGATGGCGCCAATGATAGCTCAGACCCATCAACCAGCCCCAGCAGTGGTAGGTCTCCTGCTGGCGGGCAGTCAACTTCACAGACTCCGCCCACGTCCGGAGGGCCGTCTCCTTCCTCGGATAAAGGCAAGCTGCACGATGGACACGAAACTGCAGTGGTGCATTGGCCCTCTCTCTCTGAGATCAATGAAGCTGCCGATGCTTCAAACACAAAGGTAATCACAATAGCGCCGTCAATCAAAACCGTGGAAGCGACATCAGTGGCAAAAGTTTACTTGGAACTATACTTCAACTCCATTTTCAAAAACAAAGATCCTCGTCAGCAACGTCAGCTCGAGTTGGAGCAGCATATCTATGCATTTGAGCTCACACCAGAGGAGCGGTTGATGACAAGACACAACTGGGTTTTGGGAGAGAACGATTATCTTCGGCAGTGCCGTGTGCTTAAATCAAATCGATACTGCACTCAAAGCGAAAGCGCCATGTCTGTCGCAGGGTACAAAACTATCAAGGTACTGGGGAAAGGAAGCTTTGGTGTTGTGCGTCTTGTTCGACAAAATGGCTGTGATTCGAAGAGTTCCCATGAAGATGACCCTCTGACCCTCAAAGACAACAATGTCCAGTCCAGATCGAATCCTCTTGGAGCTTTGATGTCTGCCGTGGAAGGTGCCAAACAAAGCCGTCGAAGGTATATGACCGGTGAAAGGAAGGAGGTATATGCCATGAAAGTCATCAAAAAGGCAGAGATGATCCGTAACTCCCAGGAAGGCCATATTCGAGCGGAAAGAGATTTCCTTGTTGCCTCTGAGACCTCTCGCTGGGTTGTTCCTTTGATCGCCAGCTTTCAAGATGCCAACAATCTATATCTTGTGATGGATTACATGGTTGGTGGTGACTTTTTGGGGCTACTGATCCGCAAAGATACACTCCGCGAGGACTGGGCACGGTTTTACGTTGCCGAAATGATATTGTGCATTGAGGAGGCACATCGACTTTTCTGGATTCATCGCGATGTCAAGCCTGATAACTTCCTCATTTCTGCGTCGGGACATTTGAAAATTTCCGACTTCGGTCTGGCTTTCAATGGACATTGGTCGCATGATCAAGCTTATTATAACAGCCATCGCTACTCCTTGTTGGAGAAACTCGGTATCGATGTCAAGGGTGATTCCGAAGACCAGAATAGGGTTGCCGAAGCGAAAGAGCTTGCGCCCGAGATAAAATTGCACAGTCTGGATGACCATACTCTTCATCAACCATCCTCAACAAGTTTATTGGATTGGCGAAACAACAAGGGGCGGCGCAGATTCGCAAAAAGTGTTGTTGGAACCAGTCAATACATGGCACCTGAGGTCATTCGCGGTGAAATGTATGACGGAAGATGTGACTGGTGGAGCTTGGGTATCATTCTATACGAGGTAGGTCGCTCGACATTCCCGTTTTGGGTGTATCAAATTCTCATGGCGTTTCCAGTGTCTGTATGGGTTCACACCTTTTGCCTGTGAAAATCGCCACGATACAAAGATCAAGATCCTTGTGAGTAATTTCTCTTTTCCCTTGTTCCGGTGAACATTTCGTTCTGAAATTTCTCAAGCAACACGCAAGAACTCTGCGATTTCCGCGGGAGAAATCCACGGACAAGTTAGTCTCTCAGGATGCCATGGATCTGATTACCAGGATTCTCCAAGAGCGCGAATATCGCCTGTGCTCTCCGAGGTACCAAGCCAATGAAATACTGAATGGACGTCCTGTCTCAACCCAGATGCTCTACTCCATGGACGCGCGGTACCGAAATATCGCGAGCTACTACGTATACCCCAACGATGCAGCAGACATCAAGATTCATCCATTCTTCCGAGGTATCCGATGGCAAGATCTCCACATGTGCCAACCACCAATGATCCCTAGGGTCAGGAACTGGGAGGACACTAGATACTTTGACGACTGGAAATTGGCCAGCAACGGTGTCGAGCATGCTGTTAGTAGTGGCTCGGAGGATCCTGACCAAGAGCCTGGCGTGATCACCCCTGGGAATCAAGAAATAATTCCAGCGGAGGACGCTGTAGAGCCGCCATTTGCTGAGACTACCCCACGCGCGGCACAGGACCAGGCGAAAGACGCCGAAAAGAAAAAGGAGAAGAAGCGGCCCCGCGACAAAATCCTTCGAGACAAACAGATGAGCAAGACAGTCTTGGACATTCGCAAAAAGGGTGCTTTTCTGGGATATACATACCGGCGACCCAACGACGTTGCTTTGGCTTTCAGCACAGATCGAGGGCGTCAACCGTATAGCAGAGGCCAATTGGCCGGCCTGTATGCATCGTGACTATACAAAGAAAAGCAGTTGGATGGGGAGCTGACGCCCTACTCGACTTGGAACAAACCTGTTGGCTATTGTTACTCTTCCATTCATGCGACAAACCACCGTCCTTTCAACGGGTCAAACATATCCATATAACCCTCTTTTCATCTTGTATAGCGACTCGTTCCCTCATAGGTGACTCTTCACCGTCCTTAGAACTACGGTCTTTACTCCACTCTCCCTCATGTATCCTTAGGAATGAATGTATGATTATGGACAGAAGACATTAGCCTACCTGCACAAAAAGTATTGTCATCAGATTGAATACATCCTATTTCCTATGATACTTCATCGAAGATGAATGAAGCAAAACACCCAAAAGAAAATGAAACAACGCTGGGAAATTCATACACACAGCAAGCAGAAAGTGGCTATGTATGGTCTCAAATCACATCTGATGGGCAGGAAACAGGGGTATCGGAGAGCAAATTCGGGGCAGAGAAGCTTTTAAGGGGTATCAAGTTCGGAAGATGGATATGAAGGGGGAAATGATTAAGGAGATAGGTGCATAAGTGGCAAAGCAAAAGCGAACCGAGTTCACAGAACCGGTGCGCTCATGGAGAAAGCCGAATCCGTGACGCGATCCTCGGGCTTCATGGTACCATTGAGCAATGGACAGAGCTTCTTGTTTGTTTTGATGTGCCCGACCTGGCCGCAGTTGGCACACTTGCGCTGGGTACCAGCAGGCTTGCCGTCCGGATCGCCGGAACGAGGAATGCCCTTTTGCTTCTCGCGGGCGAAACGACGCTCCTTGTTGCGGTTGAGACGGCCGAGCTCGGCCTCGATCAGCTTCCTGTTGCGGGCGTCGACTTCTGGATCGCCCGTAGGCTGGAGAGATTCCAGCTTTGTGTGCATGGCTTCGTTGTGGTGACGATATTGGATGTAATGTCTGATCACTCGGGGATCGAAAACATGTTGTTCCTGCTCCACGATTTCGCCGTTTTCCTGCTTGACCTGGCGGGTGATGCGCAACACCTTGCCGCGCTGGCTGTTGAAACTCATTTTGCTGAACTGACTTGTTGTCTCATCGTCACGACGATATGGTCCAGGTGTCGGTGCTTCAGATCGGGGTGTTGGTTTGTTGAATTGATCCTGGTATTCGTCTTCTTGGTCCACGTCGCTTTCTTGGTCGGAATGCTCGATGGTAGAGGACAAGCTGCTTTTCTGAGCATCCCAGATCCGACGAATAGATGTTTCATATGATTTTTGCTGGCGGGCAACATTGTAGCTGTGACCTCCAAGCTCCTTAAGTCGCTGCGCGTCCAACTTATCCTCAACACTTTCACCGATAGCCTTGAACCCACCCTTCATGCTTGTTTTGATGAAGTTATAGCCCTCACCACGGCCAGTGGGGTCTCCTTCGCCATGAAGTTTCAGCATAGCCTTGCCTTGGGAGGCCAACAAAAAGTTGCGAGTTGCCTTCCAGGGAGCCATCTGCTGCTCGAAGCTCTCGAATTCTTCATCTTCTTCGTTTTCGCCGCCAGTCTCGGCATCGTTGCCATAACCGGTGTCGTGGAGATGCTGCTGTCCAATTTGCATGGATTCCAGAAGACAAACATCTTCGGGTTGGACCCACGAACGGATTGTGTCTTGGTCAGGGAGAACTGGATCCAGTGGCTTCCAATATTTAGTGTCTTTGTCGTGTTGAAGGAAATCTTTGACCTTCTGTCGGTTCTGCATATCCGTAGTGTTTGGTATGTGAGCTGTAACATCGCTGATCGCTAGTCGCTCATCCGGGCTCTTCTTCAATAAACGATACACCAACATCTTCATGCGATTCTTCGCAACAGTTGTCACCTTGCGCGAATGCGGTCCAGGGATATCAACCGATGGGAATTGTTGTCCGGCAACGTAGAAATTTTCGATGTTGCGCAGGAAATAGTCACTGCCACTAGCTCCAGTGGTGCTGCGAACCACGAGGAAGTCCGTAGATTTGGGTTGGTGCGGGAATAGCGGTGCTCGGTACATGGAGTTTGAGATTGCCGGGGAAATTTCGCCGGGGTCAACATGGCCAAAGATTGAGTAGGGACTCTTGTCCTGGGGTAAGAGAACAACTGTTTCGCCAATATCTGCCCTTGGGCGGGTGGGATCATCAATATTCTTTCGTCTGTAATAATTGATGAAACGGTTGCACATTCCAAAGTTGGCTAGCGTCATGGGCAGCTCCTCAGAGTATTCCACCAGCAAGACGTTGGAGTTGTCTCCCATGGACAATGACTTTGTAGAATCATAGACAGTTTTCGCGTCTTTGCCACGTAAGTGCTTGCGTCTTAACTGAACCGGGTTCTTGAAGAAAGACGTTTGCCCAGGCCGGAAGGCCATAGCAGGTCGGTGGAAAGATCTAGCCTCAGCCTTGGCCAGCTCAGTCTTGTAGTAGGGCCACTGCAAACGTAGGGCTGGCAGACCGTGCTCAAGTGTCACGTTGCCAAGGGTGCTGCGAATCTTGTTCTGATGATTCTGTTTGAGCATGTCGTATGCTTGATCATTCGAAATGTTGTACCGCTGAGTGAGACGGCGCGTCAAATTCAGGTCCACTTCATCCCTGGTGCGAGGAGCGGCGTGCTTCGGCTTGTTTGCGACGGCATCCGCTCTTAATTCGTCGACAAGAATATTCGGATCATTGAGATCGATTGTGACTCTCTTCGCGATTTTCATTGTCGCTTGTTCCGGGTCATCCAATAGTGGGATATCAATATGAGATAGAGCAATGACATCCATCGGAGTTGGGCCAGTCTTTCGTTTCTTGTTCGGAACCTCAGTTTCCATGAGCCAATCTGCTTCATCCTCATCAAATATACCATCCTTTCTTTGTGTCGATGGCTTCTCTTCCTGGTCAATGCTAGAGACATCATCCTTAACATCCCAGTCCACACAAATCATTCGAAGGTCCTGCATTGTGAAGCCACCCGGTAGCACTTCATCTCCGTCGGCATCATCCAGGTCAATATCTTCCTTTGCATCCTCCTCCGCCTCTTCTCCCTCGTCTTCGCGGTCCGATTGTGTAATCATCACCAAGCCATGAGTTTCGTGATCGAGGCCACGCTTGAGGGGCTGACCGGTTCTGAATGCACGCTCATGATCAGCCGCCAGCTCAATATTCACTTTCGTGGGCAAGACGGGTTTAGGCGGCTTGGTTGGCTGTTTTCCAATGAAGATGGCCTTCTTGTGGGGAATCAACTCGAGCCAACGTGGAAGAGTGTTGCGGTCGAACGAGGGAAACAAGGAATGCAAAAGCTCTTCGTGGTTCTCGGGTGGTGCAGGTGGGTTTTCGACGCCTGACATGGCGAACAACTGCTGCTGAAGTTTCCATGCGCGGAGTTCGACGGGATTCATGTCTTCCGACAGGATACTGTCATCGTCCGGAAATTCATCTTCCTCCATCATAGGTGGCTCTGGCTGCGGTTCCGGGGCTGACGGGATGGGTGGTAGGTCAACGGGCGCATCTGTTAAGGGCATTTCTTCGTCTTCGAAAAGACCACGGGTAGCATCATCCTGTCCAGCAGGAGGCGGCGAAAAAGAATCTTCACCAAAGAGATCATCGAGATTGTCATCCTGGGTCTGAGCCCCCTCTCCCGGGTCACCAAAGAGATCGTCGCCATTTCCGAAAAGAGCGGCGTCGTCTGAGCCCAAATTCGCGAAAGGATCTTGATTATCATCCACTGCAGGCAGGGCTGGAGCTGGGCGTGGCATGGCCTCTTCCTCCGGAAGTTCATCGTCGTCAAAGTCCTCGTAGTCGATCGCATCGTCGGCTTTTTCACCAACTTCCAAATCACGCGACAAGAAATCTAGAGATGGGCCGGTATCTTCGTAGTTGTTCAGTTGTCGCATCACATCGTCGAAATCGGTATCCTCCTCGCCCTCCGGGGCCTTCGGTGTTGCGTGCGGCATGGTGGCAAGTGCGCTTGCGTTCAAGGTGAGAGAAATGTTGTAAATGATGAAGGCGTTAGATTTGACAAATTGGTGAGAGAAATCGTAGGTTTAAGAATGTAGGCGCGAGCCGGACAAGGCGACGACGCGATTCAGAATATGCACATCTGGGTATTATGCGAGCCTGCGATTTGGACGTGGGTTTTGCCGTGGCTCTGATCGCGTAGGAGAGAGGAGAGGAGGAGGGGCGAGTCGGACAGGTGGTCGTAGAGAGAAAACGGGTTTCCAGGATAATGCGCAAGGGACCGGGTAACGCTAACCCGATAAGGCAATCAGCTAGATGCCTGAATTCAATACTTGACTCAATAGTTCAAACAGAAACAATGAAGAACAATAGAAGAAAAAAACATATTTGGAAGTAAAAATACAATTCATGAAATTATTGTCAGGTGAATAGCAACCATAAGTCATGACACATTGAAATCCCCATAGAAAATACACAACGCCTTGCTTGCACCTTCCATGCAATAGTGCATTACTGTAGCCTTGTCACCGTCAGGAACCAGCTTTGCAATTTGTTTCAAATCAGAGGTCCTTGGGATGTAAAGAACCATATGCTTGCTGAATACTGAGTATTCATCATACAATCTTTGGAGGGAATATGGCTCCATGGTCTTCAGGTTGAATACCTGATCTGAACGATATCCCGGGCCTGTTACATTTAGTTCATGTCACAAAAGCAAAGATTCGGACACACTTACCTCCCCAGGGAGGGCTGGCAAAGACGACACTGTACGGTGCCAGTTCCTTAAGTTGATTTTTGAGAATCTCGAAACAATCGCCTTCGAACCAAGTGATCTTGTCCTCCACGCCATAGATTTTCGCGTTGTGCTTTGCGCACTTAAGGACGGCAGGATTTTTTTCAATTGCATAGATTCGTTTCCATTTTCCGGTCAAGGCAAATGCGATGGTGTTTCCGCCTGCGCCAGCGAAGGCATCCACGAGAATTCTGCGCCCAGCAGGCGCTGATTCGGCAATCTGTGAAGCGATTGTGCTAAATAAAGGTTAGCAGGACGTCTGTCATAACAGAAAAGAGT